TTTTTTTTTTTTTTTTTTTTTTTTTTTTTTTTTTTTTTTTTTTTTTTTTTTTTTTTTTTTTTTTTTTTTTTTTTTTTTTTTTTTTTTTTTTGTGCAGGGTAGATAGGGTCTTCCCTGTTGCCTAGGCTATAATGTGGTGGCATGATCATAGCTCACTCTAGTCTCAAACTTCTGGGTTCAATTGAGCCTCCTGCCTCAGCCTCTCAAGTAGCTAGGATTCCAGGCATTTACCACCAAGACTGGATAATTAAAAAAAAAAAATTATAGAGATGGGATCTCTCTATGTTGCCCAGGCTAGTCTCAAACTCCTGGCCTCAAGTGATCCACCTGGCTCCCAAAGTTCTGGGATTACATATAAGAGCCGCTGCATCTGGCCTAACCTAGAAATCCATCTATGATTGAATTAATCCATTTATGAGGGTAGAGCCGTCATGACCCAATCACCTCTTGAAGGTCCCACCTCTCAATACTGCCACATTGGGGATTATATGTCTACATCAGTTTTAAAGGGGTTGAATAAACCATAGAAGCTGGCATTTGGGCACATGATTGATGAACAGTTCCCCACCCTGGTACAAAGCTTTTTCTAAATCATGAGTGGCCCACTATGCCTAAGTCATTTGTAAAATGATATGGTTCATACTGAACACCTACTTTTTTTCTGGGTGTCTCTAATTTTGGTACATGCTTGGCAGAGGGTGTCTGTGTGACCAGGCACTATTAAATACCTTCAGCACTGAGTCTGTAATTGGCTTCCCTGATAGACCACACTTCGCGTGTATTGTGTTGTAACTCACTGCGGGAGGAATTAAGAATGTCCTGTGTCACACCACTGGGAGAGGATTCTTGGAAGCTTGTGCCTGGTTTCCTCTGGATTTTGAGCCATGCACTTTTATTTTTTTTGAGACAGAGTCTTGCTCTGTAGCCCAGGCTAGAGTGCAGTGGTGTGATCTCAGCTCACTGCAGCCTCCACCTCCCAGGTTCAAGTGATTCTCCTGCCTCAGCCTCCTGAGTAACTGGGACTACAGGTGTGTGCCACCACACCCAGCTAATTTTTGTATTTTTAGTAGAGACAGGGTTTTGCTATGTTGGTCAGGCTTGTCTCGAACTCCTGACTTCAAGTGATCAACCTGTCTCAGCCTCCCAAAGTGCTGGGATTACAGACATGAGCCACCATGTCCAGCCCACCCATGCACTTTTTACTTTTGCTGATTTTGCTGTATATCCTTTTGTAATAGATCTTAGTCCTAAGTACCACTATATGCTGAGACCATTGAATCCTTCTATGGAATCATTGAACCTGATGATGGTCTTGGAGCATAAGAGGAAGAACAGGTTTTGCTGGGGCAGTGGACATTGGAGAATATGAGTTCTGGTTTGGACAGGATACATTTGTATTGCCTGAGGGATATCTATGTTTTCTGGCACTCAAGAGCAAGTTCTGGGCTGGGAATACAGATTTGAGCATCATCAGCATTTGGTTAGCATTTGATACAAATGTAAGTAAGTAGAGAGAGACAGTATGAAACTCTACCAAGAGAGAGAAAATATGGAACCCTGGAGACCTCGACATTTAAAGATTGGGCAAGAAGAGTCCAAGGAGTTAAAGACAAGCCAGAGAAATGCACACAGAAAAAAGAAGAATAAGAAGAAAAAAAAGACAAGCCAGAGAAATGGGGCAAAACAAGCAAGGGATTATATTAGTATTTATTGATATTTAATTTGGACCTGTTCCTTCCATGAACCCTGGAGAAGTCAAGAGTTTGAAGAACAAATTAATTGACAGTATAAAACGGTGGTGTGAGGTCAAATAAGATAAGGACTGGTAAACTGGGTTTAGTAACAAGGGAGTTGTTGGCGATCTTAGCAAGATCAGTTTTAGTGGAATGGTGGGGGCATAAGATTCCTTGCAAGGGATGATGAAATAATGGTTCTGTTAGATGAAAGGATGGCAAGGACCATTTTCGATGGGTAATTTTGTATCATAGTTTCATTTCAATGGAATAAACTAGTAAAAAGCAGGAGTAGTAGTAATCAGTAGAGGGGACTAGAAACTATGATTTACTAAAAGCAAGAATTTACAGTTTGAAGATACCATGGAGAGCACGTGGACTAATCACTTCAATTTACAGGTGGAAAAACTGAGGTCCAGAAAAAAGAAATGCCTTGACCAAAGTCCTGGGGATGAGCAGGGTCAGCTGATGATGCTCCCATCAAATATACAGTCTTGATTTCAAAGACACTTAGCTGCTGTGTCCAGTATTTTTATTTCTTTTTTTTTTTTTTAAATTTTTAATCAGCTCTCCTAGCTTGAAGGGCTTCTAGTATTGAATGGTGGGATACAGTCAAGGAAGTATTTGTTCAATGTTGGAGATGAGCAGCTTTTGTAATGATTCCAGGTTTGGGATAGATCAATGAAATTTCACTTTCATTTTCTACTAACAGTGCCAGATTGGCCTCCCTTTTTGGACTGGATCAGGCAGCTGCTGGCCATGGAAATGAATTTTTCCAGTACACAGCCCCAAAACAGCCTAAGAAAGGCCAGGGAACGGGAGCAACAGGTAAGTTGAGTGTATTAGGGTTCTCTAGAGGGACAGAACTAATACGATATATGTGTATATGAAAGGGCATTTATTGAGGAGAATTGACTCACATGATCACAAGGTAAAGTCTCATGATAGGCCATCTGCAAGTTGAAGAACAAGGAAGCCAGTAGTGGATCAGTCTGAGTCCTAAAACCTCAAAAGTAGAGAAGCCAACAGTGCAGCCTTCAGTCTGTGGCTGCAGGCCCCAGAGCCTCTGGCTGGCCACTAGTGTAAGTCCAAGAGTCCAAAAGCCAAAGAACTTGGAGTGTGATGTTCAAGGCAGGAAGCATCCTGCACAGGGGACAGATGAAAGTCAGAAGACTCGGCAAGTCAGCTCCTTCTACCTTGTTCTGCCTGCCTTATTCTAGCCACGCTGGCAGTCGATTAGATGGTGCCCACCCAGATTGAGGGTGGGTCTGCCTCTCCCAGTCCATGGACTCAGATGTTACTCTCCTTTGGAAACACCCTCACAGACATACCCAGGAACAATACTTTGCATCCATCAATCCAATCAAGTTGACAGTATTAGCCATCGCAACTGGCACTAGGATTGTGCCTTAACAGGTTAGATGGAAGGGTTAGCAGCCTTCCAAAAGTGACATGCCAGGCTGTTTATCCTCGACCAGTCTGGCTAAGCTCATGCCCAGTGGTGGGTGCTTCTCTAAGACCTGAGATCCTGATTTCTAGCAGCTAGATAGTGTGTGCTTTGTTGGGAACTCATGGAGAGGCTTGAAAGCAAGATCTTCTGCTCCATGTAGACGCTGCTCCCCCAAACTCTGCCCAAGGCACTCTAAGTAGGTACTGTCCAGTGTTTTGGCGAGAAGAAAGACCTACTTTTCACTTCCTTTATCTGGACAGGTTAGCTGTAGGCTGACTGAATTTTTCCCAACTAGATAGTAACATGCATTGCTGTATCCCCTGTATCTTTCATCATGATGGACACGATGGCCATTTATTGAATGAACATTTGTTGAATGAAAGGAGAGAAAGGTGGGCTAATAGTTCTTTCTTTCTTTTTTTTTTTTTTTTTTTTTTTTGAGATGGAGTTTTGCTCTGTTACCCAGGCTGGAGTGCAGTGACGTGATCTCAGCCCACTGTGACCTCTGCCTCCCAGGTTCAGGCGATTCTCTTGCCGTGGCCTCCCTGGTAGCTGGGACTACAGGCATATACTACCATGCCTGGCTAATTTGTATATTTTTAGTAGAGATGGGGTTTCACTATGTTGGCCAGGATGGTCTGAATCTCCTGACCTTGTGATTTGCCTGCCTTGGCCTCCCAAAGTGTTGGGATTACAGGTGTGAGGCACCGCAGCTGGCCAAAGGAGACTAATATTTCTAAAATGCTTGCTGTGTGTCTTGTCTCAGGTGGTTTACATAGGTTGTCTTAGTCCATTCTCACAATTCTTTGAAATAGGTGAGGCTACAGTCATTTTATATTTTTATTTAAAAAAAATTATTTATTGATTTATTTTTATAGACAGGGTCTCACTCTATTGCCCAGGCTGGAGTGCAGTGGCTTGAGCACAGTTCGCTTGAACTCCTAGGCTCAAATGATCCTCCCACTACAGGCATGTGCCACCATACCTGGCTAATTTTTAAATTTTTTGTAGAGACAGGGTCTCACTGTGTTGCCCAGGCTGATCTCGAACCCATGGCCTCAAGTGATCCTCCTGCCTCAGCCTCCTAAAGTGCTGGGATTACAGGTGTGAGCCACCATACCTGACTACCACCATTTTAGGAGCTCAGAGAAGGTTAGGGAGTTGATCAAGATCATGCAGTAATAAGTGACAGAGTTGAAATTTGAACCCTGATAGAACTGACTCCAAAACTTTTATTCCTTTCTCTACACTTTGCCGTCTTTGAGTCAGAACCTGAAGAGAAGCAAGGGACAGACAGTGATAGTCCTGAGCAGTACAGGTGGTGAGGGGTGTTAAATATTTGTTGAGTGAAAATAAAAATATTGAGTGCCTTTTACATGGTAGACACAGTGCTGGAACTGTGGATATTTGTCAAGATATTTAGAGTTGAGTAGTTACAACAGATGCCATATGGCCCAAGCACAAGGGAAAAGCAAACCATTTTCCCCTCTAATTCTCTACTTTCTTTTTTTTTTTTTTTTTTAAGATGAAATTTTTGCTCTTGTTGCCCAGGATGGAGTGCAATGGCACAATCTCGGCTCACTGCAACCTCCACCTCCTGGGTTCAAGCGATTCTCCTGCCTCAGTCTCCCAAGTAGCTGGGATTACAGGCAAGCACCACCACGCCGGGGCTAATTTTTTGTGTTTAGTAGAGACAGGGTTTCACCATGTTGGTCAGGCTGGTCTTGAACTCTTGACCTCAGGAGATCCACCCGCCTCGGCTTCCCAAAGTGTTGGGATTACAGGCGTGAGCCACTGTGCCAGGCCTCTAATTCTCTACCATCTACTCACTCTCAGCACACTTCTGCCACCCTAATGTGATGGAGTGGGAGGGTAGTTCTCCACACACCGAGGGAATTCTCCAGCGGACACCAATTGTGTATCCTATAATTCCGTTTAATTCTGATGCTGTCTACCTGGAGATTTCAGATACCCCATTTTAGATACCAAGTGCAAGTCCAGCCAGTTATACTTTTGATGGGGGTTCCTACGACCGCCTTCTTGGGTTCAGTTAATTTGCTAGGATGGCTTACGGAACTCAGGGAAACATTTTCTTATATTTGCTGACTTATTATCAAGAATACAGATGAGCAGCCAGATGAAGAGACAGACAGGCTGAGGAACTGAGGGAAGTATGGAGGTTCCATGCCTCTCTAGGTGTAGCACCTTCATGTTCGGCAACCCAGAAGCTTCATCAAATCTCGTTTCCAAGTGTTTTTATATAGCTGGATCTTCAGCTTCCCCCACCCACTTTCCTGAAGATTAGTGGGTGGGGCTGAACGTTCTAGTCTTACCACTTGGTCTTTCTGGTGACTGGCTCCATCCTGAGGCTCCACACCTCTAGGTCCCCACTCTAAGTCACCTGATTAGCATTGTCAAAAGATACAGTTATAACATATGTAGTTTTAAGATCTTAATTGGCTTTTATTAGAGATTCTAGAATTGGGTCACACTTCATTCTTTAAAATGGAATGTTGTGATGAGCTGAGCAAAGGAGGTTGGCTTTATTAAGGCAGAAAAGGGCTGAAGAAAGGAGAAACAGAACAAAAAGCAATTGGTCATTTTGAAGTTACTCTTCTTGTGTAGGTTAAAGCAAAGGGGACTTCCTTCCTTATCATGCTGGCTAAAATTGGATTATACAAAAGATGTTCCTACTGTTCTTATCACTCAGGAAATTACAAGGGATTTGGGAGCACTGTGTCGGGAACCAAGGACAAAGAGCAAACATATTTCATATTATGCCACAGCCTGTAGGCCCTTTACAGAAAATGTTTGCTGCCCCCTGCTTTAAATATTACCTATGACTTTAGGCAGTTTTGCTGTAGGTGCTTCTCTTGTTCTCCAGGCCACAACCTGGCCAGATGTCTATTAGGCTATGCTTTTATATTTCCCTTGGCACATCTCTTCGTCAGCATTTTGCTTCAGAGTTAAAGTGGTTGAGTTAATGGGAGAAAAAGAAACGACCTTAGTCCCCACCCAATGAAAGCACTTGATTTTTATTTTTATTTGTTATTCTACTTAATTTTAGAAACAGAGTCTTGGCTTTGCTGCCCAGGCTGGGATGTAGTGGCTATTCACAGGTGCCATCATAGTGCCCTATGGCCTTGAGCTCCTGGCCACTGCACCTGGCCAACTTGATTATTTAAATCGGAAGACAGCAATTATGAGTTTGTTATGCTTTTAGCAGGGCGCTCTAGAGGCAAAATTGCCTATACGGTTTTCTTTAGGCATTTACAAATAAACAAAACACAAACAAAAATTCCCTCTCTGTTCAAGGGAATTTTTTTTTTTTATTTGAGATGGAGTCTCGCTCTGTTGCCCAGGCTGAAGTATAGTTTGCAGTCTCCACTCCCTGCAACCTCTGCTTCCTGGGTTCAAGCAATTTTCTTACCTCAGCCTCCTGAGTAGCTGCGACTACTGTTCAAGGGAAATTTGTATAAGAAGTTCTTGTGGGGAAGATGGCTACAGCATAGTTCTTGAATCTCTTCAAATCTCAACATAAAAACAGACAGAGCAATGCATACTACTGGTAGGAGTGTACACTGGTATGGCTTTTTTTTTTTGAGAGGGCGTCTCGCTCTGTCACCCAGGCTGGAGTGCAGTGGTGTGATCTCGGCTCACTGCAACCTCGGCCTCCTGTGTTTCAAGCAGTTCTCGTGCCTCAGCTTCCCGAGTACCTGGGTCTCCTGGTGCATGCCACCATGCCTGGCTAATTTTTGTATTTTTAGTAGAGATGAGGTTTCACCATGTTGGCCAGGCTGGTCTTGAACTCCTGACTGCAAGTGATCTGCCCACCTCTACTTCTCAAAGTGCGGGGAATACAGGTGTGAGTCATCATATCTGGCCTTTCATCTCAAAGAGGAAAGGCCAGATATGATGACTCACACCTGTATTCCACCTCTACTTCTCAAAGTGCTGGGATTACCAGTGTGAGCCACCATGTCAGGCCTGAGGAACAGTTGGGCAGGATGTAACCAAACCTCAGATTTTCTTGTACTCCTTTACCCCATAATTCCATTTTAAGGAATGCATTCTAAGAAGATAACTGGAAGCACACACAAAAATGTGTCATTTTAATTTATGTGTTTCTGTATTTTCTGAGTTTCCTGCAATGTATTTGTACTCTATAATCAGGAAAATATGTTAATAGAGAAAAAAATCAAATGAGCTCTTTTGAAAAATAAGTTCTTGCATATCATGTCCATGTCAGTATTATCTTACTACTCTTTCATCACATTCACGTAGTGAACATAAATGTGTGATTTGCTCTTTTTATTTTTATTTTTTGAGACAGAGTCTCACTCTGTCACCCAGGCTGGAGTGCAGTGGCATAATCTCGGCTCACTGCAATCTCCACCTCCTGGGTTGAAGTGATTCTTGTGTGTAATCCCGAGTATCTGGGATTACAGGCGCACGCCACCACGCGCAGCTAATTTTTGTATTTTTAGTAGAGATGGGGTTTCACCATATTGGCTAGGCTGGCCTCTTACTCTTGACCTTGTGATCCACCTGCCTCAGCCTCCCAAAGTGCTGGGATTACAGGCATGAGCCACCATGCCTGGCCTACTCTGTAGTACTTTGTGAAGTTAAGTAATATGTGTGATTTAAATATCTTCCTGAATTTCCTACCCTAGAAGTTAGGGAAGGGGAAATAACTTTATTTTCATATATTATAGTGGTAAAATATTGGAAGGAGAAAATAAAGTAGATGGAATATGACCTCATTTGCTAGACAGTACTCTTTATCTAGCCAAAGACTTACTTAGGGTGTTTGGTTTGGGATTTGGGGTCATGAGTTTCACACCTAGGCTTGTGTAATTGTGTGAGGCACTTGGGTGCTTCGAACCTCAGTTTCCTCATCCCCAGACTAAGTTATAGGGCTGCTTTGTGGATCAAATAAGGATAATGATCATGAAAGCATTACACCACTAACTGTAACGTATAAAGAACAATTTTGAAGGTAGTTCAATGGTTAAAAATTAGTTTCAGACAAGAAGCGAATGACGACTTTGTTTTCTTGTTCATCTTCAGGAAATCAGGCAACACCAAAAACAGCACCAACCACTGCAAGCACTTCCACAATACTGGTTGCAGCAGCAGTCCATGCATATCGATAGTAAGTACCTGAGAAGGAATATTCTCCGAAGTTTGGTGGAAGGGCGTGCAGTTAAGCTCCTACTTTTTCTCATAAAACCTCTGGGTTTTTTGCAAAACAGTTATTCAGCTCTTCCACAGACAAAATAACAGTAGTATTTTTAACATCTGAATTGAAGATTTCTGTGGTAAAACTTGAAGAGCCATTATCTTGTCTTCTCTCTTTAGGAAGTGCTTGTACCCTTGACAGCCTGTCAAATGCTCAAAGAAAGCCACTCCATTGAGATAGCATGTATGATAGATATTTATATTTACAGAGTAAAGAAGTAGTATACGAGCTTTAAATTATAAACTGCTCACCTGTGTCCCTGTCTAGAGGCTGAATGACTGTTGTTCCCACTTCTCTATAGCAGAAAAGAAAGCTGGTTCTGCATAGTTTAGGGAAGTATTAATACTTGTTGTTTCTCTTCCTTCTATAGCACAAATGGTCAATATGTAAAGCAGGGCAAATTTGGTGCTGCAGTCCTGGGGAACCACACAGCCAGAGAGGTGAGAGTGTTCCCACATGTCACGTATATTTACATGTCCCAAATAATACCAATGAACTGGCTTTTATCTGGGCTTGCCCAGTGTTTAATCAGAAGATTAGAATGATGGTTTGTATTGAATGTTAATTTATAATGTCAGGTATATAGTAAGTGATCACATTTTTCTTACTATTGTGCATGAAAACAAATCCAACCATTCAAAATTGTTAAGTTTGACCTTTGTGATATAATCCTAGCTTAAGAATTTGGGCATTTGTTTTTGTTTGTTGGTTAATTGTGGGGCGCATGTGTACACATACACACACACACACACACACACACACACACACACATATATACATACATATGTATATATAAGATAAAATTTGCTATTTAACATTTTTTTTTTTTTTTGAGACAGAGTCTTGCTCTGTTGCCCAGTACTGTGGTGTGGTCTCAGCTCACCACAACCTCCGCCTCCTGGGTTCAAGTGATTCTCCTGCGTCAGCCTCCCAAGTAGCTGGGATTACAGGTGCCTGCCCCCACGCCTGTCTCATTTTTTGTATTTTTAGTAGAGAAGGGTTTTCACCATGTTGGCCAGTCTGGTCTCAAACTCCTGACTTCATGATCTGCCCGCCTTGGCCTCCCAAAGCACTGGGATTACAGGCATGAGCCACTGTGCCAGCCTTAACCATTTTTAAGCGCATAATCCAGTGGCATTAATTGCACTCACAGTATTGATTGAGCAACCCTCACTACTCTCCATTTCCCAAACAGAAACTGTGACCATTAAGCAATAACTACTTCTTCCTTTTTCCCAGCTCCCCATAAACTCTAATCGACTTCTTGTTTTGATGAATTTGCCTTTTCTAGGTACCTCATATAAGTGGAATCATAACAGTATTTGTCTTTGGCAACTGATATATCTCATTTAGCATAATGTCCTGAAGGTTCACCCATGTTTTAGTATATATCAGTGCTTCATTCCTTTTCATAGCTGAAATATTTCATTATAGGCATATACCACATTTTGTTTATTCATTCATCCATTGATGGACACTTGGGTTGTTTCCACCTTTTGTCTGTTGTGAATAGACATAAAAAAATATATGCCATGAAGATTGCCCTAAAAGTATATGGTCAAGTTCCTATTTTTGGTTCTTTTGGCTGTATACTAAGAGTAGAAATTGCTGACTCGTACGGTAATTTTATGTATTGCTTTTTGAGAATCTGCCAAACTGTTTTCCACCGCAGCCGTACCATTTTACATTCCCACAAGCAATGTATGAGGGTTTCAGTTTCTTCACATCCTTGCCAGCATTTTGTTATTATTATTATTTTTAATTCTTGCCTTTTTTGTAGGTGTGGAATGGTACTTTATTGTGGTTTTAACATGCATTTTACCCAACATCTAACGTTGAGTATCTTTTCATTTCCTTATTGACCATTTGTATATTTTCTTTGGAGAGATGTCTATTCAAGCCCTTTGCTCATTTTAAAAATTGGATTGTTTGTCTTTTTGTTGTGGAGTTGTAGTAGTCTTTTAATATATTCTGAGCATTAAATCCTTATTTGCAGATGTTTTCTCCCATTTTATAGATTATCTTTTCACTTTCTTGATAATGTCCAAAAGTTTTAAATTTTGGTGAAGTTCATATTATCAACTTTTTTCTTTTGTTACTTGTGCTTTTGGTGTTTTATCTGAGAATCCATTACCAAAACCAAGGTCATAAAGATTTACTTCTGTGTTTTCTTCTAAGAGTTTTATGATTTTATCCCCCATGTTGTTCTATATACGAGTCGGGCCTACAATCAAAAATTACTTGACATGTGAAGAGGTGGGAAAATGTAACAGATAAATTAGTAGTGGACTCACAAATAATCTAGATTTTGATGTTAACATGCAAAGCACTTAAAACAACTAGAAATAATAAAGAAAATAGAGAAGTACAAAAGAGATGAAAAGATGGAGAATTAAAAAAATAGAATCTATAAGAATAATCACATGGCAGTCTAGATTTGAAAAATACAATTTCTGAAAGAACATATTGGATGGGTTTAACAGAATAAGAATATAGCAGGAGAGAGAATTAGTGACTTCGAAGGCAGTTCTATAGAAAATACCCAGACTGAAGCACAGGAAGAAGAAATAATAGAAAGAGACCAGGGCAAAGATTGATGTGGGACATGGTCTAACATCCATGTAATTGGAATCCAAAGACAGTAGAATTACATCTTTAAAGTGCTGAAAGGAAAACAAAACCCTGCCTATTATACAATTCTATAGCAACAAAAATGAAGGCAAAATAAACTTTCAGCCAAACAAAAGTGAGAGAATTCATTGCAGTAGATTTGCACTACAGGGAATATTAAAGGACATTCTTTAGGTTGAAGGAAATGAATGTCTGTGTCCTTCAAAAGACATGAAGAATTTTCATAGAAGTATCATTCATAATAGCCTCTAGCTGGAACAACTCAAATGTCCATAATAGGAGAATGAATGAAGAGTTTATGGTATATTTAAATAATACAATACTACATGACAATAAAAGAGAACAAAATACCAGAACATGAAGTAACAAGGCTTACTCTTACAGATATGGTGAGTGAAAGAAACAAGACAAAAGAGTATACACTGTATAATCCCATTTAAGAAGAGCAAAATTGGCTGGGCATGGTGGCTCACGCCTTTAATCCCAGCACTTTGGGAGGCTGAGGTAGGTGGATCACCTGAGGTTAGGAGTTCAAGACCAGCCTGGCCAACATGGTGAAACCCCATCTCTACTAAAAATACAAAATTAGTTCTTTGTAAATTCTGGATATCAGCCCTTTGTCAGATGGGTAAACTGCAAAAATTTTTTCCCATTCTGTTGGTTGCCGATTCACTCTAATCACTGTTTCTTTTGCCATGCAGAAGCTGTGGAATTTGATTAGGTCCCATTTGTCTATTTTAGCTTTTGTTGCCAATGCTTTTGGTGTTTTGGTCATGAAGACCTTGCCTACGCCTATGTCCTGAATGGTTTTGCGTAGATTTTCTTCTAGGGTTTTTATTTTCTTCTAGGGTGTTAGGTCTTATGTTTAAGTCTTTAATCCATCTGGAGTTAATTTTAGTGTAAGGTGTCAGGAAGGGGTCCAGTTTCTGCTTTCTGCACATGGCTAGCCAGTTTTCCCAACACCATTTATTAAATAGGGAATCCTTTCCCCATTGCTTGTTTTTGTCAGGTTTGTCAAAGATCAGATGGTTGTAGATAGGTTGTGTTGCCTCCGAGGCCTCTGTTCTGTTCCATTGGTCTGTATCTCTGTTTTGGTACCAGTACCATGCTGTTTTGATTACTGTAGCCTTATAGTATAGTTTGAAGTCTGGTAGTGTGATGCCTCCTACTTTGTTCTTTTTGCTTAGAATTGACTTGGCTATGTGGGCTCTCTTTTTGTTCCATATGAAGTTTAAGGTGTTTTTTTCCAGCTCTGTGAAGGTCATTGGTAGCTTGTTGGGGATAGCATTGAATCTGTAGATTACTTTGGGCAGTATGGCCATTTTTACAATATTGATTCTTCCTAACCATGAACATATGCAATAATCTTGCATGTCCTTCACATGTACCCCAAAACCTAAAATGCAATAAAATAAATTTAAAAAAAAATTAGCCAGGCATGGTGGTGTGCACCTGTCATCTCAGCTACTTGGGAGGCTGAGGCAGGAGAATCACTTGAACCTGGGGAGGTAGAGGTTGCAGTGAGCTGAGATTGTGCCACCGAACTCTAGTGACAGAGGGAGACTCCATCTAAAAAAAAAAAACTAGCAAAATTAATCAGCAATAGAAGGCAGAATATTGGTTACGTCAGGGTGGGGATTATTGACTAGGAAAAGCATGAGGGAGCTTCTGTGGTGTGGGAAGTGTTCTGCTGTTTTTTTAATGTGGTTGATGGTCACGTGGGCATGTATATGTATAATGTACATGTATTTTATGTTTTTCATCAATTTAAAAACCATTTGTATTTTCATTTACACAACCAGCCACTCTCTCTTAGTCACCCTTGTATAAATAAAAACACCAACAAAATGAAGACATTGCCAATTACAGTTAAACAGTCAGGCCAAAATAAGAAGAGGTTAATGTGGATAATGAGAAGATAAAATCTGAAGTTGAAGCCTTCAAGAATGAATAGATTTTGAGATTAATAGCTGGTTGAAGCACAATTCCTGATACTTATTGCTGATTTTGTATTGCCTTTTAACTTCTGTTCTCTTTTTTTCTTTTTCTGTCTGTCTTTGCTTTACTACAGTATAGGATTCTTCTTTATATCAGTCAGCAACAGCCAGTTACGGTTGCTAGGATTCATGTGAACTTTGAGCTAACGGTAAGACTTCTTCATATTGCAATCATTAGGTCCTTCGGGGTAGGTTTACGGGAGAGATTGATCTGATTGTACCTAGTAGAAATTAGATCCACTGCTTCAGCCCTGGGTGTCCTTGTGAGTATCTAACAGAACCTTTCAGAAAGGTCTTTTGGCTCCTTCTGGGAATGTGGACGAAGGGGTAAATTGTCGAGGGTGAGAGGGAAGAGGAAAGATCTCTGATACTTCTCTTTGGGTCCACCTGAGTCACAACCCTACTCTATGAGCTTAGGCAGTCATGTTTATCTGGTATCATATTGCTTGTGGATGAATTATCTTAACATTTCTCCTTTCTCCAGGTCCGGCCCAATAACTATAGCACCTTTTATGACGACCAGAGACAGAACTGGTCCATTATGTTTGAGTCGGAAAAGGCTGCTGTGGAGTTCAATAAGCAGGTGATAACATCTTATTCTCCCTGTGAAAAGCCAGAATATTGTTTGGATTTCCTTTAATTTTAGGGAAACATAGAAAACCCATAATCTGCTGTGTTTTGTTAGTGACAAACATAAAAAACCCACTAAATTTGCCACTTCAGCCTATTGTATGATTTCAGGAAAATAATAGGAATACTTACTGAAACTGCTTGACAATTTAGCCTTTTTCTTTTTTAACAGGGAAAGACTAAATGTAAACTTACTATATTAAAAATTTTTCTACTGCATAAATTATCTTAAGGAATAAATAAAACTATCTTAAAAAAATAGTGTTTTCAAAGGATCTTTGAGGCGAGGTGTGGTGGTTCACACCATGCCTGTAATCCCAGCATTTTGGGAGACTGAGACACATGGATCACTTGAGCCCAGGAGTTCAAGACCAGCCTGGGCAACATAGTGAAACCCCATCCATACAAGAAAAGAAAGAGAGAGAGAGAGAGAGTTAAGTTACTACATACTCATTGTAGAAAATTTAGAAAAGCATTACAAAAAAACACTCATAATCTTACTACTCAAAGTAACCACTGTTAATGTTGTATTTCCTTTTTCCTATGCATAATGTACATAAGCAGTACAGTCCTTTAATAGTTCTTTATCTTGCTTATTTTTATTTAAGAATGTACAATTCATCTTTTTCTATCTCATGAAAAACTATTTGGAAACATTTTTGAAGGCAGCATAATATACATCTTGTCAGTTCAGGCTACCGTTAACAAATTACCACAGACTGGTTAAACAACAGGAATTTATTTCTCATGGCTCTGGAGGCTGAAAATCTGAGATTAGGGTGCTAGGATAGTTGGGTTCTAGTGAGACCCTCTTCTGAGTTGCAGACTATCTTCTTGTATCCTCATACAGTAGAAGGAGGGTGAGAGAGTTCTCTGGGATCTCTTTAATAAGGGCTCTAATCCCATTTATAAGGGCTTCACCCTCCTGGCTTACTTACCTCCCAGAGGCCCCGCCTCCTAATACTATCACACTGGGAATTAGGATTTCAGTGTAAGAATTTTGAGGGGACACAGACATTCAGTCCATAACATTTGTTCCTTAATTTATGTAATCATTATCTTATGTTGTGCATTTAGATTGCTTTCTGTCTCTGCAATAAGTGATACCATGGTGAGCGTTTTTTGTATAAGTCTGTTCTTTCTTCCCCCCCTGCATATTTCCATAGGCTTTGTTTCAGTAAGTGAGTGATTGGGTTAAAAGGCCCAGATAGTTTCAGGTTCTGAATACACTTTGGAACGCTGCTTTTCAGAAAGATTGTACTATTTCACATTCATATCAATTTTCTCATAGGGCCCTTGCCAGCATTTAGAATGATCCTTTTCTTCTTTTGGTCTTATTCATTTGGTTTTTTTTAAAAAAAAAAAGATGCCTCATTGTTTTACTTAGCATTTATTTGGTTGTAATAATGAAATCTTTAAAAAAGAAAATGAGCAGCAGGTTTCTAATGGATACTATGTTAAAACATTGATAAAATTGGTTCTTGAATCCACATTTTTCTGAACTCATAGTCCAAACATCTTTCATACTATATTGCTTTTGAGGGCTTAATGATATTAAAACACAAGCCCAAGAATAAATATTCATAAGTAGAATAGAATAATTATTCACAAAGATGCCTCTGACTCCTTTGTCCCAGATTTGTGCTAAGATAATATGACCAAATCTGTAGGTGGAAGTGATGTGAATTCTGGGACTGCAACATGATTTTGTAAATGCCTCCTTTCTACTGCAGGCTTTAGAAATGCCTTTTGACATTTTTTTAGAAGCTCCCCTTTCTTTCCTAGGTTCCCAAACACTGAAACAGTAAATCAGTATCATAATCAATAGCTAATGTTTATTGAGTACCTACTATTATTTACCAGGTACCTTGTCAAGTACTTAACTTACATTGGCTCATTTATTTTTCATAGCCATCCTATGAGATGCATGAAGCATTATCTCCATTTTACAAATGGGGACTCTTGGGTACATAGAGATTATTTGGCCAAGGTCACAGAGTTAATAAGTAGCAGTGTCTGGATCTGTACCCAGACATTCTGACTATAAAGCCATACTCCTAGGCACTTTGATTCCTGGCAAGATGTCTGACTTTGGTTTGGTTTACTTCTAAACATGTCATCTGTTTTGTTAGTGGATGAAGCTGTTTGAGAAAGAGCAGTAGCAATAAAGGAATGAGTACTTACTGAGCTTAAACTACATTTATGCTGCCTCGATTTTGTCTCGCAGGTGTGCATTGCTAAGTGCAACAGTACCTCTTCCCTGGATGCAGTGCTCTCCCAGGACCTCATTGTGACAGAAGGCCCTGCTGTAGAAGTTGGAGATTCTTTGGAAGTGGCCTATACCGGCTGGCTCTTTCAGAATCATGTGCTGGGCCAGGTAAGAAAATGCACCCTGCAAGTTCTTCTATAAACTTATATAGCATGAGGGCTATTCCCAGGGAAGATACTATTACTGTGAATTGCTGCTGTTGTCAAATGGAAATTAATAGGAGGCCCGCTTTAGACACTAACTGCTTTGGGGCATATTATGAAATGCAAATGTATAAAATATCCTCAGTGCCACTCTATCACTTCTACTTAGGGTTAGTGGAAACCAATTTCCCAAGTACTATTATTTTTGCTAGTTGTTCGTGTGTACATCTTGTCCTCCTATACCAGTTTTACACTTGAATATATTCTTATGGGATTAAGTCTTAAAACTTCTTTTTAGACCCTCCTTACAGTTTTTCTTATAGTAGATACTGTAAATATGTTAAGCTTATTATGTTTTAAAATTATTAAACCTTTAAAAGCAATATATTATATGAGACAAAGAATTTTAGACTGTAAGTTTAGAAAAGTCTGGATTCAAGACCCAATTGTATACTAATTTGACCTTAATCAAGTCATTTATACTCTGAATTATTTTCTTCCATTTGCGAATGGAGGTTAATGATTTTGCTGTGCTTACTCAGCAAGGTTAGTATCAGCATCAAAATGAGATAATTTTTGAAAGTGCATTATGGATGAAAAATGCTTAAATACATAGTTGTAAGAATGTGGGTTTTTTTTTTTTTTCTAAACCTGGAAAATCATTGTTTCAGGGATAATCATTATGATAACACCCTTTAGCTATGATGTGGTCCAATATTTCAGGCCCCTTAGAAACTACCTTCCTAGTATATTTGACATTCCCTATTCCAGAAGTACTGTGCTGGTATGTAATTAGTTGAATATCATAAGAGTTATTATTTTTGAAATTGGCTGGCCTCATTTTCTTTGATCAAATTGCAGGTTTTCGACTCCACTGCTAACAAAGATAAGTTGCTTCGCTTGAAATTAGGATCAGGAAAAGTCATCAAGGTAAAGGCTTAACTATGTTTTTGTATGGCTTTATCAGTTGCAGCGGGTTTAACTTAGATTAAATTTTGTGGATTTTTTTTTGTGTGTGTGTCGAAGTTTCGCTCTTCTTGTGCCCAGGCTGGAGTCTGGAGTGCAGTGGCACGATCTCGGTTCACCACAACCTCCACTTCCTGGATTCAAGTGATTCTCCTGCCTCAGCTTCCCAAGTAGCTGAGATTACAGGCGCCCACCACCATGCCCAGCTAAGTTTTGTATTTTTAGTAGAGATGGAGTTTCTCCATGTTGGTCATGCTGGTCTCAGACTCGCGACCTCAGGTGATCCGTCTGCCTTGGCCTCCCAAAGTGCTGGGATTACAGGTGTGAGCCACTGTGCCCGGCCTGAAAATGTGCTTTTTAATTATATCTTTTCTTTCTCTTTTATTGCTGTTCTTTTATTCCTCTCATTTTCTCTCATCATCTAACATAAGTATGTTTCATCCAACCCCAGATATGCCTGCTTTCACAAGGAGGTTTAGAGGGTGTATTCTAGATAGTCTTATGCCAATGTGGGGCAGTAGTCAGTCCTGGCCTCTGGAGGCATTAAGTAAACCTGAAAGCGTGGATAAGTGAAACCTGTTGCTCCTGTATTTCACTTGGTCTTCTGAGGAGCTTCTTGTTTAATGAGCTTTTCCCATCTGATTTTTAAAGGGCTGGGAGGATGGAATGCTGGGCATGAAGAAAGGAGGAAAGCGGTTGCTTATTGTCCCTCCAGCCTGTGCTGTTGGCTCAGAAGGGGTAATAGGCTGGACTCAAGCAACGGACTCAATCCTGGTGTTCGAAGTGGAGGTTAGGCGGGTGAGTGAAACTTAACTGTGTTTTGTTTGATGAGCCTTCTGAATGTCTCTTTGCTAGTTAAGTAAAATAAATGAAGATACTTGAAAACCAGGTTCTGAAGACATAGATTTCTTTGAAAAAGTAGAAATGGAGCAGACAGAAAGAGCAAAGATTCCAACAGCTTTGAAATCTAAGGACCAAAGTATTATATCCTTCTTGGCTCTCTATTCAGAGTATAGAAGTGGTTGTGACTTTAAGAAAGTCACATCTTTGGCTGGGCATGGTGGCTCACACCTGTAATCCCAGCACCTTGGGAGGCCAAGGTGAGCGGATCATGAGGTCAGGAGATCGAGACCATCCTGGCTAACATGGTGAAACCCCATCTCTACTAAAAATACAAAAAATTAGGTGGTTGTAGTGGTGTGTGCCTGTAGACCCAGCTACTCAGGAGGCTGAGGCAGGGGAATCGCTCGAATCTGGGAGGTGGAGGTTTCAGTTACCTGAGATCGCGCCACTGCACTTTAGCCTGAGCAATAGAGCAAGACTGTCTCAAAGAAAAAAAAAAAAAAGTCACATCTTCCCACTAAGCTTTTTATTTTGTCTGTAAAATAGTGACTCCTGCTCAATGTATATACTTTTTACTTAGTGACTCTAGGGCTACAAACTTATTCTATTTCTATCTTTACGTCAGTGTGCAAAAATCTGTGTGTGTGTGTGTGTATATTTTCCTATCTCTGCCATGTTGTAATAGCAAAAAACTGGCAAGAACCTAAATGTCCATCATTAAGATACTGGCTAAATTATGTATTTTTCATAGAGTAGACTTTTATGTAGCTCTTAAAGACTATGAAAAATCTATTACTAGGGAAGCAAGTTACAGGACATTGTGGATAGTATGGTCTTGTACGTGTGTGTGTGTATACACATATACATATCCATATATACAGTCATATGTACATATATGTGTATGCACGCATGTAAAACATATGCTCATCTATTCATAGAAAGTTTCTGGAAACTTTAAAAGAAATCATTAAAAGTGATTTTTTTTTTCTGTAGAATAGAATTCAGAAAGTTTTCCTTTTTGTCACTGTACCTTTGTACCATGTACAAAATTTAACATGAATATATAAAATTTCTATAATTGCAACAAATTGTGCGTAGTCAACTTAATACTATCTGTTCCCTGCCCAAAATGATCCTTTTTGCTTTATACTGTTTGCTAGGTTCAAATGTGATAGAGTTTGTTACTATAAACTATAAAATACAATACAAATAGGGAATATTACGGTCATCTTCATTGCGGCTGTTACACCTGCCACGGAGAAAGGATGTGCTTTTCTTCTCAGTGACACTTTCCTAACTGTTCCTAACTGGACACTGTCATCATGCTGGCCCACCCCAGCCCTCTTTCAGTGACATGTACCCTGCTGCCTTTTCTTTTTTACATCTTTTATATGCTCTGTCAATTTTCCTTTGAGCTTAAAGAAATCATGGCTGATGATAGATAACAAACCAGTTTGAGTTTATCATGATTGGCCCATGAAACATAAAACAAATTTCTGTTTTACCAATAATTGAAGAATGACAAATTGATATGCATACGAAATTCACAAGGCTGGTAGAGAATGATGATACCCAGTGTGGCAAGAGTGTTCAGAAAGGTTTCTACACCACTGTGGCAAATAAACTGGTTCACTCTTTCTGGTGGGAAATTTAATGGTATATATTAACCCATTTATGCTGGAGGTTGCAAATTTTTTTGTGAAAAATCAGACCTTGGCGATGATCTTGAGCAGTAGGATATAAATAACTCCCACAAGCTTAGCATTCCAAGAATGGAACACTAGGCATAAATGGGTTTAAAGCATTCAAAATGAGCATCCCTTTTATCTAACAAATTTAACTTCTGGGAATTTATAGTTTAGATATATTTAAGATTATGTATAAAAATGTATAAAAATACAGATACAAAGTTATTCATGGAAGCATTGTTTATGATGGAAATAAACTGTCTAACAGTGAGGAATTGGTGAAATATACTTTGTAATAGCATAGATATTTATGATTTTAGTTCGTAAAATCCTCTGGAGACTTTTTCATGTAGCTCATAGCAGTGAAAAGCTGACCCTTGAAATTGAATATACTCTTCAGTAGTTAAAAATAATGTTGCAAATTAATATTTAGTGATATGGAAATACATTAATATGTCAGTGAGTGAGCAAAACAGGTTACAAAACAGCATGGCCCATTTTTGTAAAAGGTATATGCAGACACAGATAATATAATGGTAGTTGGATTGCAGGTGATTATCACCTTTGTCTTTTTGGCTGAGCTACATTTTCACATTTGTCTACAATAAACAGGTAATGGATTGTGTAATGAAGAATAAGTAAAATGGAAGGAGGGTGGAGGGGGAAGGTTATCTGTAGCCTATTTCACCTGACTCTTTCCCTAGGTGAAGTTTGCCAGAGATTCTGGCTCTGACGGGCACAGCGTTAGTTCCCGGGATTCTGCAGCTCCTTCCCCTGTCCCTGGTGCTGATAACCTCTCTGCTGATCCTGTTGTGTCACCATCCACATCAATGCCTTTCAAACCAGGGTAAGATACTATGGTTGTATCAAGTTCTTTTATGGCTTATAAAAATGATTCTTAGAGGGGTTCAGAAATAGAGATAGAGTTAAAAACTAAAATAATTCTAAATAACTGGAAAAAATGGGATCAGGGAAATGGGGAAAATACGTCAGATTTTTCTGACAAAGGTTTAATATTCATAGGCTACAAAAGCACTAACTCAGAAGAATACTTACAAAATTCTGGAAAAAAACTAAGCAAAGGGTGTAAATACAAAATTATATACTCATGGAAAAAATGTAAATAATAAGCATTTGGATGGAAAGGTGTTCACCTTTAGTAGCATTCAAAGATTATGCAAATTAAAGAAGAGTTAAAATTCTCTTTTACAGCCATTAAATTGACACACATTTAAAACAACAATTTATTTATCCAGTATAATTTGGACTTGTGATTCTGGATTTTGTTTTCAGTCTTTGAATATGGTTTATTTGCTTTCAGGGAGCCAGCTCTTCGTACCAAATCTAACTCCCTCAGTGAACAACTTACAATAAACACAGTAAGTATAAGAGTCTTGGCCAGACATGGTGGTTCATGCCTATAATCCCAACACTTTGCAAAGGCAGGAGGATTGCTTCAGCACAGGAGTAAAGACCAGCCTAGGCAATATAGTGAGACCTTGTCTCTCCTTAAAAAAAAAAAAAGTTTTCCTCCCTTACCTCTAGTGTGCTGAGGTTTTAAGTGCTTAGAATATGGTAGGTTAGGAAAAAAAACAGTTAAGAACCATTGATTTAGCCTAGAAATCAAGGGTTACTTTGTTCATTTCCCCTTACTTGGGAGTCAGTGTTAGTTAGCCTCAGCTTCTGCATAGGGATTCAAATCTTGATTCTTATAAGCATGTGACCTTGAGAAAGTTATCTAACTTCTGTGATCCTCAGCTTCTTCATTTATAAAAAGGAACTCAGTCTCATAGCCTCTTTTAACAGTTTTTGTGAGGATTAGAGATAATTTGTGAAGTGCTGAGCTCAGAGCCTTCGTTTAGTGTGTCTTTAATAAGTGGTCACTGCGATTATTATTAGGAGACTGGTGTTCAATTGAGGGAGGAGCCTCTCTCAAAGTGCGCTTCAACTTTAGAAATATTGTTTATCCAGAGGATTATGTTAGTGCTTAATCCTAGGCCCTCTCTTCTACTTGCTTTCTGTGACCTTGAGCAATTTAGCCTCATGTTTATTTCCTCATCTGTAAAATGGAGATATTGCCTATCTCAAAAAGATTTTTATGACTTTTCAATAAAATAACGCCTATGGAGTTTTTAGTATTCTGTCTGGCATATTGTAAGAGCTCAATAAACATTAGCTCTTGTTATTATCATAAGTATTGCTAACATTACATATCTTTATACTTTCCTTCCCACAGAGGAGTTCTGTACTAATTCACCAACTGATTGACTTTGAGCAGGTCACTGAGCCTCTGTGTTTCCTCAGTTGTAAGATGAGGGTGCCAGCATGCTCTTTTAGTAAAATCTGGATTTGAATGCCTTTAGGAAGGATACATGTAGTAGTTTGCCGCTGGCCTGCCTGGTCTGTCAAGGCTTCTTAGTTTGCTGCCTGAGGACCAGACAGTAGCTGAAGCACTTCAGGTTCTAAAGCCTTGTGACCTTTACCTACTGCACTGGGAAACAGAGTAGGTGCATGTGGTGAAATTGGTGCCAATAGCTCTCCAACCCTAGTTTAGTTGTTTATATTTAATCCAACAGGAATTATTAAGCAAATAATTGTTTTGAAGTGATCTCCTAAACCCAGAAGTTAAATCAAAGAATTAGAAGAAAATTGAAGAAAAGTATTATCTCAGATCTTTGACCAGCCACAGAAACGGTCCACTATTGGTTCCATTGTACTCTGTAGTCCTAACTCTTGTTACCTATTTCTAAGCTATAGTAACTTCTAGCAGACTAGTCTCCAACTATTTTTCTTTTTCTTTTTTTAAAACAATTTTTTTTAATGGAGCAAAACTCACATAACATGAAATTAACCACCTTTCTTTTTCTTTTCCATTTAAGTTTTTATCTTTTGTTTTGAAGAGGTAATTACATTTATATGGCACAGTTACCAAAACAATATAACAAGATCTACATTGTGAGGACTCACTCCTATTCCTGTCCCCATCTACCCTATTCCATCTCGTACCCCTTAGGTGACTGCTTTCATTAGGTTCTTATATATTCTTTCAGTGTTTCTTTATGTAGGTGCACACAAGTAGGAATGTGTATTTTATTTCTCCCTCCTTTCACAGACACTAAGTGTCATACTCTGTGTATAATGCACCTTGCCTTTTCCACATAACTATATGTATATAAAATGCAGAATCTTTTCATGTTGGTGTATAGAGAGCTTCCTCATTTTAATCTGTAGATAATGATATTCCATTGTGTGCATATGATTTATATAACTAGTCCTTTCCTGACATATCCAACTTTTTGTAGATACATCTGGATACAAGAGATGTATCCAAAAAAAGTTCATCAGTTAAGAGAAAATAAGCACATACTCCTAGTATGTTTATCGACGAATTATGTACATAAAGTACCACCAATCTCTGTAAGCAAACTCAGTATCTTATGTTTGTAGCTGAAAAATAATAAAAATGCAGCCTGGGCAGCATGGCGAAACCCTGTCTCAACCAAAAATACAAAAAATTAGCGCCTGTGGTCCCAGCTACTTGGGAGGCTGGGGTGGGAGGACTGCTTAAATCTGGGAAATGAAAGTTGCAGTGAGCTCCTGAGATCATGCCACTGTATTCCAACCTGGGTGTGATAGAGACCCCATCTCAAAAAAAAAAAAAAAAAAAAAAAAAGATAGTAATAATAAAAAAAATGGAAGTTATGGTAATTTCCTTCTACACCCAATAGATCGTCTTGTGCACCTTTGTACTTCTTGCCATTCTGAAATTTTGGACCAGTTAATGGAAGCTTCTGGCACAGAGTCTAGTGTGTAGTTAATGCCAAGTCATATTTTAATGAACCTGAAGTTAAAACAAAGAGCTCCTCTTTCCTTTTCTCCACAGATCTCTTCTGAATATCTATCCACTGAATTGCTTCAGGCTTTTGAGTGAGGGTACTGTCATCTAAAATGCCTCCCTCTCTTAATATCTCTACCTTAGTTTTTCATCTGTAAAATGAGACTAATTATGCCTGCTGGGGAGACTTGATTGAAATGAGGTAATACATGTGAAACCACTTTGTCCGTTCCAAAGACACAGGGAATTATTTTTACTGCTATTAATTATCATCTATGTATGCTTCTATTGCAAGAAATCTTTGATTCTCATTTTCTAGAGGAAATGCTCTTAAATAGATATGGTAGGGGGATTTGTTGAAGGAATTGATACAAGAGCCAAAGGGATAGAGCTGCCTGAAGGTGATGAGCCTTGATCATGGTGATTTTTGTGACTTTCCTCTCTTTTTAGAGTCCCGATGCAGTCAAGGCCAAGTTGATCTCTCGGATGGCTAAAATGGGCCAGCCCATGCTGCCCATCCTTCCACCACAGCTGGATTCCAATGATTCAGAAATCGAAGTATGTCCCCTTGGCTGTATTAGAATGAATAGTACAGATGTCACCATCATCTTTCTTTTCATTTGGTTGAAATGATTGTTTTCTGCCTCTAAGACAGAATCATTATTTAGAGGGCAAATAGGCAAAATCATACAGATTGGTATTGGTACATGTATTTCTACGGTGATTAGTATTTCCCCTGAGAGATGGAAGCAATTTTATGGATCTTTTACAAGAACCAGACAGTTTTCATTCGTTGATTTGGCCTTCTTTACTAGAATCTCTGTTATTACTAAAGATCACCTCTGGGCTTCATGATGCCCAATCCTTAGCAGGTGCTCAATTCATACTTATTGATCGAATGTTTAGATTCTTTTGGGAAATGTTGGTCTTCTCACTGATAGTGCCTATCACTAAAGCTCAAACTAATATGTCTTTTGACCTTGTATGTGGTATTTTTGTGTTTGTTTTCTATTTAGAAGTTCAATAATTTTATTGAAATCAAATCTGTAAGTTTTCTCCCGTTGTTATTTGCTTTTGACATTATGCTTACAAAGCCTCCCCACTTTCAGATTATAAATATCACATGTATTTTTAAAGATATTTATCAATATTTTATACTTAGATCTAAATTTTTAATCCATTTGGAATTTGGTGTATGCTATGAAGTAGCTTAATTTTAACTTAATTCTTTTCCAATGGTTCTTTATTGAATAAAATCATCCTTTCTCAATTGAAGTGAAATACATAACTTAGATTGATTTTTGTTGTTCTTTTACTTTGATAGAAAATAAGGAAAGGGTGATGGTCTTCAAATTTTTTCTGGATTATACTTTATATTTTACATTTTTGTTTTATTTCTTCTTGGAAAAGCTGTACGTAGATTTAACATCTTAAAGGAAGATAGGGTTTCTGGGGCCTATTCTTAAAGGATTAATTTTTTTATGGTCTAGAAATGTAGTTCAAATAAGAATGATTTTATTAAAAATTTCATTTGCTACTTGTTCATATTAGAATAATTTATAATTATAGAAAATAAACATATTGAACAAAAAAGGGCATTAATCTTTATATATTGCTTTATAACCTGATTTTTAAACTTAATGTTAGATCATAAACATTTACGTTAACATAAATGATTTAAGTAAATAAAGCGGTTTAAAGGAAACCCAGTGTCCTGTCATTTTATTATAATTCCTTTCCCTCTATTGTTGGTCATTTAGGTTGGTTAAGAGCTGTAGAAATCTAAAACTGGGATGTTTTTCTAGAAGAAACTATCAGGGGACAGGGGGAAGTTCTAAAGTAAAAGAATGTCTGAAACTTCAGTCCTTGAACTATAGCATAGCAGATTACAGTCACTATATATTGTGCCTCAAGATTTTCTGTTTCTTATATGAAGCAAAAAGATATAGAATAACTTTGTTTGGAGTTATAGCTTTGATTTTATGAAAAGCTTTGGTTTTATGAAAAGAATGTTGGAAAAACATTCTAAAGCTATATTATCCCAAAACAGCATGTTAATGAGGTGCAATGAATCCTGCGTTATCTGATTTTCATTGAGTACCTGGAGGCCTATGGAGATAATTTGTCAGAAGTGAAGAGGCTGGATTGTTCCTTGCAGAAGACCATTTTTTTTTTTTTTTTTTTTTTTGGTGGGAATAGATTAGATTTGCCTTAAGGTAGCTACTGGTTTGGAAAATGATATATTCTGAAGAGTGGTTAGTTAGCTGCTTCAGACAATAGAACATCAACCTCTTAGAATATTTGTGGAAATTAACTATATTTACTTATTCAATATTATTTACAGGGAGAAGGATTCTTTATTGCGTAGCAGAGTGCTTTTTCTCCACAACTCACACCCTCAACTCTTAGCCTTCTGCTTACCTTTCCTTCCTCCTCTTTGCCTAGAAATCCTGTGTTGGAAGCAGGTTTAGGGCAGACAGTCAGCCTTGGTCTTCAGTAGAGAGTAACCCAAATGCTCGTTCCTGTTTCAGGATGTGAATGCTCTGCGAGGAGGTGGGCAGCCTGTGGTGACTCCATCCGTCCAGCCCTCTCTTCAGCCAGCCCATCCAGCATTACCACAGATGACCTCACAGGGTAAGGAACCTCTCTTGAGGCTCTGTGGTCTTGAACTGGGTCAGCACGAAAATTATCACTGTTCCTTAAACTGTTAGGCTGCATTGTTTCAGTACTGAGGACTAAAGTGCAAATGTAAGAGTGTAACACTTGTCAGTTTGTCCCTGGGTAGGGCATTTTCAGACCCAGAGATGGATTTGGCTGCTTTGTTGTGATTTCTGCTGTGTTGCACTGTGAGTGTTGGAAGTCTGCACTCAGCTATTGCGATGTCTCCCTGGGTGTGTTCTGCACTTCCTGTCAGCAGATGGGATCCTAGGGCTGAGTCAGAAGCACATGAGAGCACCCGGTTTCCTTCTACTGGCTCATTCCTGAGATTCCAGTAGAGCTGAGTGTAGGGAGACTAGGCAAGGAAAATAGTGGAGTCTGAAGCATGATGGTGTGAAAGGTGCTAGTCCAGACTCACACCAAGAAGCATGGGTGGATAACAGTGAAAATGTCTCCCTTTATTTTAGCACCTCAGCCATCTGTTTCTGGGCTCCAGGCACCTTCTGCTGCCTTAATGCAAGTTGCATCTCTCGATTCCCATTCAGCTGTATCTGGAAATGCCCAATCCTTTCAGGTAACGTTTTACAACCATATTAATTATATCCTATAATTTACTGTGGTTCTAGTCAGTCTCTTTTCTTCTTCCTGTACAATTCATAAGTAGCAGTTCCCAAAATCAGAGTTTGTAATTTTTTTCCCTTCCTTCGTCACCACTTTCTCATCTCTAAACAGGCAAAGGATTAGCTACGTTAGAGTGTCGTAAAGATTAAATGGAAGAACAAGTAGAACTTCTAGTACAACGTAGTAAAGGTCCAATCAATGTTTGTTTCCTGTACTTTTCACACATATCTAGTTGAAAGCTGTGTATTCACATTCCTCTGTATTCTTTTCTATCAAAAGTTGGCAGGCTAACATTCTGCAGAATATATTCAGCAGAATGGTATGGTTTAAAAGTGGAACCATGTGGAAAATGTAGCTGGACTCTGCTATCTAGTAAACTTCTCTTAAAGAAGGCTTTTTTCCTGTTATCATAGAAGACAATGGCAGCAGCCTGTTTGCCAGGGGTAGTAGACTCTTTCTTCTGCCTCAGCAGACTTGGTGGATAAGACATATTGTCACTAATAGCAGGGGCTCACTTCTTGGTGATGCTTAATGCAGGTGTGGGAGTGATGGTGGATAGGCCATGCCTCATTAAGATGGGGAGTCTCAAAACTGGAAAAAGTCCCATGGTTGCCCTCTTTTTACCCACCCCTCCTCTCCTCCATGGAGAATTACTATCCTATAGACTAAGAATTTTTTTTTTAATGGGTGAGTAGTTATAGCTATACCTGGAAATGAGCTAGACTTCCTTATTTCAAGGAAGAGTAACCATCCTCATTAAAATAAAAGCTGCTGTTTATTGAGCACTTACCATCTCTCAGGCATGTAACTTAACAGCTTTTCAGAACTTTACCTGTCTCACTTTATTTGGTCCACACAACAGCCCTATTATTATTATCTTCCTCTTACAGTTGATGTGACCGAGGCTCAGAGGAACATGAGAGCTCTTGGTCTTGTGGATTAGCATCGGAATCTGGCAGGGGAGAGGCATCCTTGGAAATTGACAGATTTGGTTTGGAATCTCAGTGAGCACTTCTTTGAACTCAGTGGATACTAAGCAGAATTTTATTAATCTAAAAACTTCTTAGACAATAGACCTGATAGTGGGGAATGAATCCCCCACTTAATTAAATCATCTCATCAGATGACTGGGTAGTGACCCAAGATATACTTTCTTCGGTTTCTGGGTAGGATCTTAGTGGCCAGTTTCTACTGGGTTACATAGATAACTCTCCTGCTGCAGTCCTTACCCACTGCCAAACCCCGGTCTCATCCATCTCTAGCTTCAGTAAGCTTGAGCCTCCTCCCAGCTCATCTGCTTTATTCCACCAAAGAAAAATGTGAGCAAAAAAGAAAGACATGAATGTTTTATCAACCAGTGGTAATTCGTTTCTCAGCCCTATGCAGGTATGCAAGCCTACGCGTATCCGCAGGCATCTGCCGTCACCTCCCAGCTGCAGCCAGTTCGGCCTTTGTACCCAGCACCACTCTCTCAGCCTCCCCATTTCCAAGGTAGGGAGTGATTCCCTCAGTTTCTCGTCTCCCGCTCTTGCTGTGCTTTCCCTCTTCTTGCTCCTCTTTCATTTTCACTCCAACAGCTCTCATTGTTTCTTCTCTTTTTTAACAGCTTTGTTGAGATACAATATGTGTTCCATACATTCATTCATTTTAAATGTACAATTCAAAAGTTTTTTAGTAAATTTGCAGAGTTGTGCATTTATCACTACAGTCCTATTTTAGAGCATTTCCATCATCCCCCAATATTTCCTTGTGTCCATATTCTGTGTTTTGTTTCTTGGATATTCTCCCCTGGCCCTTTTAATTCCTCTGTTAGGGTAGCTAGAGTTTAGAGAAAATAGTAAAAGAGTAAATCATTGGAGGAAATTGGGAGAAAGTTGAACACTATAGGTGTTTAATATCTCTAATGAAAGCTGCTTTGTTACAATTTTTAAATTACAAAAATAAGAGACTTTTATAAAAATGTCAAGCAGTGTGAAAAGGTGTAAAGTGAAAAGTTGCTGTCTTTCCCATCCATTAAACACCCTGACCTTGGGAAACTGTTGTTAACAGTTACTTTGGTAACTTTTCAGATGCTTTGTATGTGTGTACAAGTGTGAGTGTCTAATGTAAAAAACCAAACCAACATAAAGTGTAAACTGCTATGATGGAATCTTGCCTTGTTCTGCTGTTTGTCTTCTGCTCAGTAGTCAGCTTTGGTATTAGGACAGTGGTAGGAAGAAGCCAGGATGTCCTACAACATAATTTGTGGTTTTGGACTGGTCAGGATTTTCTGGATGCAGCCTTTGTCTCTCTGTCCTTCTCCATCTGGGAAATGCTTTTTCCTCCATCAAAACTGTCATCTCCCTCTGTGAAGCCTTCCCTGACTATTCTCTGTCCCTCTTTCCTCTCTTCCCACAAACACAACTGTGTATATGTGTCACCAAAGAGTTAATCATGTTTTTCTCTCTGCTACTTTTATACCTAGCATATGGTCCATGTTTTTGCACTTAATACACTCGCTTGTAATGATTTGTTTACACGTCGGTCTCCCAACCAGACTGAGAGCTCACCAAGGGCAGAAGCCATGTTTTATTTACTGCTGTATTCCTGGTACCTGGTACCTGGTACAATGGCTGGCATACAGCTAGATGAACGGGAAAGCAATCTGAGCTGTGCATGCTGTCAGTGCAGAGTGGACATACTTGTGCCCTTGGATGCAGCCCTTGATGCATTTTGCAGGAACACAGCTTAGTTGTTTAATTTGAAGCCCTTTTGCCTCTACTCTCCCCACTACATCTTCTCCTGACAGGGTGAAGTCACCTATAGCATTTCCTGTGTATCGAAGTATTAATTTCTTTCTTTACTGGAAGAGCTACTGGCTTTTCTTCAGACAGTTTCCTCTGCACCAGTTTCATAAGTTTCTTTTTGGCTTATGTCTATTTAGGATCAGGTGATATGACTTCATTTCTCATGACTGAAGCCCGGCAACATAACACTGAAATTCGAATGGCAGTCAGCAAAGTGGCTGATAAAATGGATCATCTCATGACTAAGGTGACTGAGTCAGGGTTGGGGCCATGTTGAAAGTGGGGATGTAAACAGGGAGCAGCCAGAGCTATAGGCAAACTCTTCTTTGGTTTCCTGTATTGGTAGTAGTTAGAGGTTATTACCCTACAAGGTTAGTTATAATTATGTTGGGATCCAGTTAGTAGGAGAGAGCTCTAGCTTACAGTTAGAGATTATCCCAGGAACTCATTAACCCCCTTAACAAAGGGGTCAAATCTTGGGTAAATTGTATTTCTTCATTTTATAATTTCTCACAAGGTCTTTCCGGTCTCCCTTTTGTAGATTGAAGAGTTACAGAAACACAGTGCTGGCAATTCCATGCTTATTCCTAGCATGTCCGTTACAATGGAAACAAGCATGATTATGAGCAACATCCAGCGAATCATTCAGGTGAGAGTGATTGAGAATAGACCACTCAGGCTGGAGGTCTTACCCATGTTCTCTTCCCAGAGGGACTGCCCTTTAACACCTCCACCCCAGAAATAGAGAGCCTCTGATAAATGCCACACTTGGGTTAGACAGTTCTGGAAAATCCATTATGGCTTAATTCTGTCCAAGTGACTTATCACTATACATTCTGAAGAAAACTCTGCTTTTTTGACCATACCTCAGAATTTCACTTCATTTTATAGCTATTTATACACTCAATCCATTGGACCTAGTGATTTGTATCCATTAGGTATAATCTGATGTGTTATTTTAACATACATGTGGACATAAATTCTAGTGTTTTGTCTCAAAATAGGTTAACATTGTCACCTGTCAGTTCAAGTTGATTCTGTTCTGTCTGTTGCTTTTCTCTCAAGACACTTAAATTATACATCATATATTTTGAATTTAGGAAAATGAAAGATTGAAGCAAGAGCTCCTTGAAAAGAGCAATCGGATAGAAGAACAGAATGACAAGATTAGCGAATTAATTGAACGAAATCAGAGGTAATGACAGGTATGGGGCCTGGCTAGGATGGACCAAAGGGTTTATTGTGTGTATACCAGCTTAAGTACACGTATTTGTTTAGGGCAGTATGTATGTATTTCTGCCATTTCTGTTTCCTGCCTGTCATGTGAATTATTGCCTGTTTTCTGAGAGGCGTTATAGCAAAAGAGCTCAGTAGGCTGTGCTGTAGGGCAGACCTGTGTTTGATACCTGCTCTGCCCCTCATTCATTTTGTGGCTCTGAGCATTTTATTTATTCCTGCTGGCCCTAGTTTCTTTATCTTTAAAACTAGTATTATTACTTACAGAACTCTGGTGTCAACTCTTCTCTCTTCTGTGTGAGCTAACTCTATTTTATCCACAAGAACTTAGCCAAAACTTCACTGATTCCCATATAAAACCTAAGTATTTTGTACTTTTTATAGATACTCCTGAAGATTTGGTGGGGTGAGCAGGGAGGGTGAGTGGAACACATCACAACACAGCATTCCACTTAAAAAATCATTCTCCCATATTTCTCTTCTCCACTGTCTCTTGTCTCCCACACAGCAGAGGTGGGAGTGGCTTTCTCTTCTTCCCTCTTTCTTACAGCCTCCCTACTCCTGTCTCTTTCCTCCTCATTCTCATTGTCACACACCCTTCATATTCCTGTCCTCTCCATTATTCAGGGCAGTTCACCGCTGGCCCAGATTCCTGCTTCCAGCCCGATTTCCTTAGATCTGACTACTTCAGATCTAAGGAAAAGAAAATGCTTTCAGATTGCTTTTGATAAAGGTATAGAGTAGCAATGTTGTGAGGACAGAATGGGCATTGGGTTGTGCCTGCCATATACTCTGTGCTTGATAAATGTTTTCTTTTTCCCTATTTCTTTCACAGGTATGTTGAGCAGAATAACCTGATGATGGAGAAGAGGAACAACTCACTTCAGACAGCCACAGAAAACACACAGGCAAGAGTATTGCATGCTGAACAAGAGAAGGTAAAGCAACTGGGGAGAGAAAAGCCCAGGTCAGGATGGGTAGAGCTAAGGAATGGTCCTGTGTACATATTCACCAGTAGGCTTTCCAGCAGAATTTTTGCCATCACTGCATAAAGAACTAGAAATCTCTCAATAAGTTTTCACGTATCCATCATCTACATTTCTGTTTTATAATATGCTTCACAGTAAGGCGACTCAAAATAATCACTGATCTCAGTAATTTGATTGGGTAAAAATTACACAGCTTATTAGAAATGAAATTTATTCTGTTGACAAAATTAACAGAAAATTTCCATTATGGCAGATAACAGATATGTAGGTTCTTTTTAGTGGAATTTAAGATTGTTTAGTTTGCTCCTTCATCCGTGTCTGCCAAAGCATTTTAAAATGCTACTGTTTGACCTCAGTCCTTTCAAAATTAGGAATTTTGACCCGTTCCTGCAGTAGCAGTAAGGAAGACTCTAGTGGGTCTTGGGTTGGGATCTGCTGATTCTGAAGCTCACTTCTCCTCCCCTTGCTCCAGTGATGCTGTTTATCCCAAATGGATTGCTTCTTGTTAGGGCTACCACTCCTCAGCTAGGAGATTCTGACTTTTTCATCTGCTGTCTTTTTTCCCAGAGGTTTAGAAATCGTTTACATTTTGTATTTGTGTTTTCTTGAAAACCTGAAAAGTTAAATACACTTTATAACTTATGACGTTTACTCACTTTCTCATATTCTGGTAATGAGGATTCCTTACTATGTCTTTTGCTAATCTTTGTCTTCTCTTAGCCATAGAATCTAAGCAAGTAATGTTTGACCTCTTATCCTCAGATGCCTTGTCCTGCACAGCCCTTTCCAATCCTGACCCTGTTCTGTTCCCATTACTTTATACATCTCTTGTTGATGCAACTGACTTCTAACGCCTACATCAAGATCAGCAGTCTGTGACGTTGTTCTCATTAGGTCAATGACAAGTTCTGAAGTCACTTCACCACCCCCCAGCCACTAAATGCACTTTTTACTATTTCTACTTTTATTTTTTCTCTTCCTTTCCTTTATTCCTTTTGTTTTTTTGTTTTTTCTTTAGGCCTATAAGGGGCTTCTAAATAGATTATTTGGCTTCACTGTTACTATTCAAGGCTAAAATGATTACTGTAACTAGTTCTAGATCAGTGGTCCCCAAACACTGGCTGCCTCAGACTCACTTGGGGAACTTGATTAAAACTAGATATTCTTAAATCCTGAATCTCCAGAGATTCTAATTTAGTATATCTAGCTGGGGCCTGAATCTGAACTTTTAAAAAGATCCTTTAGATTCCAGGTATCGGAATTACTGCTTTTGTTGGGGATTTCTTTTGTCATAATCTCTGGAGGTGGCAGCATTTTTTTTTTTTTTTTTGAGATGGAGTTTCGCTCTTGTTACCCAGGCTGGAGTGCAATGGCGTGATCTCGGCTCACCGCAACCTCCGCCTCCTGGGTTCAGGCAATTCTCCTGCTTCAGCCTCCTGAGTAGCTGGGATTACAGGCACGCACCACCATGCCCAGCTAATTTTTTGTATTTTTAGTAGAGACGGGGTTTCACCATGTTGACCAGGATGATCTCGATCTCTTGACCTCGTGATCCACCCGCCTCGGCCTCCCAAAGTGTTGGGATTACAGGCATGAGCCACCCCGCCCGGCCATTTTTTTTTTTTTTTTAAATTTTAAATTTTAAATTTGTTTTTTTGAGATGAAGTCTCCGTCTGTTGCCCACGCTGTAGTGCAATGGGGCAATCTCAGTTCACTGTATCCTCTGCCTCCCAGGTTCAGGCAATTATCCTGCCTCAACCTCCCGAGTAGCTGGGATTACAGGTGCATGCCAACCACGCCCGGCTAATTTTTGTATTTTTAGTAAAGACGGGGTTTCACCACATTGGTCAGGCTGGTCTTGAACTCCTGACTTCGTGATCTGCCTGCCTCGGCCAGTGGCAGCATTTTTAAGATATTCAGCATGTGATTCTCATGTTGAGAAGCACTGTTTTATGTATGTATGTGTTCCAATAAAACTTTATTTACAAAAATAATAGGTCAGTTTGGCTTATAGGTCATAGTTTGCCAGCCTCCGAATTAGCTTATTAATCTACCCAAATGCTTTCATGTTGATAAATCCTAGAGATGTCTGATGCCATGCATTGAGCCAGTAGATGCTCTATTTATAATAGCAAAAACAGAAGTAATAATAACAACAATAGTAATCACAGCTAATATCTGCCACAGTCCACTGTGTTATAGATACCATGCTTCACACAAATTTTTGAGGGAATCTCTTGATGCATATGACTGGGATACCAAGTACCACATGCTTCACTGATCATCTTTATTTCAGTGAAACTTTTTGAGCCTTGACTCTCCCTTCTTTTTCTTTTCTTTTTGATCCATTTCTCATGTAACAGTTTTCCTGGTGATCTCTCCTTTTAAAGGGAGATAGGCAAGGTCCTTTCATCCCTGGAAGCAATTTTCTGCCTTTAGACACAACTCAGAAAGGTATAGTTGACTGTTCAATGAATATTTGGTAAATGAAATTGTTTTTCTCTATGATATAATAGTACCACAAAAATCATGGAATAATGGCTAAAACAGGAAGATCTATTAGAGGTCACCTTTTTAGTTTAACCTTTTTATTTTACAGGGACAAAGTAAGGGTCAGAGAATGAAAGGGTAAAAGACCTCCCTAGGACCCCCACTTTCATTCAGCTATATTCCTTTTCCTTTGTAAAATTACCATCTCTCTTGAGTAGCATTTTCTTGCTTTTACCTTGCATGCTTTTTTTCACTGGTTTTCTGAACTCTTGGTTCTTCCCATCATTGCTTTCTTTTTCTCACTCTCCATGTCAGCAGTAGAATTTGATCCGGGGTAGGAATCAGGAAGCCATCCCATCTACTGTGTAGAATTTTTTTGTGTGTTTTCCCTTCTCACTTGACTATACCATGATCTTTAAAAAAATTATAAATACAAATACACCTATATATATATACACACACACATACATACATATATATATACTTTCTGATCACAAAAGTTGCATCTGTTCATTCCGGAAAATTTAGAAATATAGATAAGCAAACATAAAATATAAATCCTTCCACTCAAAAATAATGATTGTTAATGTCTTATTCATTCCCTTATTGTTTTCTGTGTACTTGTGCATTTGGGTGACAGCATTAATTTTTATGCTTCTGATAGGCCTTTCTAGCTAAGGACCTGAAATAAAAAGAGCTTTTGGGTGCTTTTCTACTCTGCTTAACCTTTAACAAGAGAGTGACCCTCCATTTCATTGGCATGCCTTTGGAATTTGTCCCTTCCAGTGTTTTAGCTGCTGCAAGTTCTTCTGAGAGAGGTGCTTGTTCTGGTATTAGTGAATTCTCTGAGCTACAAATAGAAGCAAAGCTCTCTGAGCTCTGAGTTTTGTTTTCATTAGGACATTTGAAGCAGGACAATGAGTAGATGAAAGCCACTCCTATATCTGGAAGTTCTAGATTTCATTGTCATCTGTGTTTAACAGGTGAAAACCTAAGGCCACTGAATAGCAAAAATAAATATCTTAAAGCTTAGTCTAGCCTGGGCGTGGTGGCTCACCGCTGTAATCCCAGCACTTTGGAAGGCCGAGGCAGGCAGATCACAAGGTCATGAGATCGAGACCATCCTGGCTAACATGGTGAAACCCCGTCTCTACTAAAAATACAAGAATTAGCTGGGCGTGGTGGTGTGTGCCTATAATCACAGCTATTCAGGATGCTGAGACAGGAGAATCGCTTGAACCTGGGAGGCGGAGGTTGCAGTGAAGCAAGATTGTGCCACTGCTCTCTAGCCTGGGCGACAGAGTGAGACTCCCTCTGGGGGAAAAAAAAAAAAAAGCTTAGACTAAAGAACACATATACTTTCAGATAGTCATTTATAGCCTATTTATTTATTTTTTAAAGTGAAAGCAAGCTTATTAAGTAAAGGAATAAAAGAATGGCTACTCCATAGGCAGAGCAGCAGCATGTTATTTTTATTTTATATATAAATTTATTTTCTTCTTTTATTTTTCTTCTTTTGAGATGGAGTTTTGCTCTGTTGCCCAAGCTGGAGTGCAGTGGTGCAGTCTTGGCTCACTGCAACCTCTGCCTCCTGGGTTCAAGTGATTCACCTGCCTTAGCCTCCCGAATAGCTGGGATTACAGGCTCCTGCCACCATACTAGCTAATTTTTGTATTTTTAGTAGAGATGGGGTTTCACCATGTTAGCCAGGCTGGTATCGAACTCCTCACCTTGTGATCTGCCTGCCTCAGCCTCCCAAAGTGCTAGGATTACAGGGGTGAGCCACCAAGCCCAGCCTTTATTTTCTTTTTTAGGAGAAGATTTTAAATGCAATCTATAAAACGAATAAAGACTTTGGAATAAGGCAAGGAATAAATATATGTAAAACAAGTGGGCACAGTGAACACAATAAGAGACAAATTATAATAAGGAAATAGACAACTGTAAAAATGTATGTAAAGTATAATAGAGCCGGGCATAGTAGCTTGCACCTGTAGTCCCAGCTACTTCAGAGGCTGGGGTGGGAGCATTGCTTGAGTCCAGGAGTTCAAGGCTGTAGTGAGCTATGGGTCATCCAGCCTAGATGACTTAGCGAGACCCCATCTCTAAAAAAAGAAAAAAAAATTTAAGTATACTAGTATAGGTATAATAGCATAGGGATTGTCATAGTAGTAGCAATTTAATAGTATAAGAGAGGTTGCCCACTCCCATAATTTGAATTTGGTTTAATGCAGGTTGAAGGCAGCCATAACTCCCTTTTTACTAGTTCAGTCTGCATAGAGTTATGTGAGGTTGGTTCATCACTCACATGGAGAACACCTATGTTTAAAGTGACGTCATACTTTGTTATTATTCAGGCCAAGGTGACAGAGGAGTTAGCAGCGGCCACTGCACAGGTCTCTCATCTGCAGCTGAAAATGACTGCTCACCAAAAAAAGGAAACAGAGCTGCAGATGCAGCTGACGGAAAACTTGAAGGAAACGGATCTTCTCAGGGGCCAGCTCACCAAAGTGCAGGCAAAGCTCTCAGGTATGTGCTAGGTGGGGGATGCTGGGATTGTTGCCATTTAAACTCAAGGAATTAAGCTGTTTTCTTTCTCTCGATCTTTTTGGCACAATGCTCATGAAGTTTTTGAAGGACTGAGCCAAAAATTAAAGACTAGTATAAAACCTACATGATTGTTTTACAGAAGGGACAACAAAAGAACTGACTAATTATTTGGAATTGATCAGTGCCACAGTTCCCTTCTGTTTGGGGAGACATTGGCTTCAAAATCTTTGGTACTTATGATTGGCTTCAAATGCCCAGAAGAGTTAATATGTTGTTCTAATTCATGACGCAGTGGAAGTTTAAAAAAGAGATGCTTTCTAGTGTGGTTTCTTCTTTCCTAGAAGATGGATTGCAACTCTTCATCCTGGCACTCAAGGCTCCTCCTGCTTGGCTTGTCTCCCATTATATTGTCCAGTTCATCCTGGCTCTGACCATACCAGCAAGCCTGCTGGCTGCTCTTCAGCTCATCCTGTAGTTCTTGTCTTGCTTCTTATCCATGCTATTCTCTGGATTTGACATGTCCACCATTACCAATATTTGCCTTCAATCTTCTTCAAAATCTGCTTCTTTCAGAAGCTTTCCTAGTTTTCTCTAGAACATTTTATCTCTTTTAAAAAAAATCCTTTATCTCTTAGTGAGTGCATTGTTATAACCCTTATCACTGTTTGATAAGCATGGTGTTTTGCTTATCTTTGTAAAGTCCTCTCCTCCATATTAGTGTTAGTTCAGTGCCTGGCAAGACATAGTGATTGGTTAGAAGATTTGTGAAGGCCACACATTGATGTATAGAAACAAATATGGAGGGCAGAGATGGGATCAGTGGGCAAGGGGTAGCTGGAGCAACAGCAGAGTTGGATGGAAGCAAAGTTCATTTGCCTACTAGAGAACTTAAAAACGATTATCAGTTGGTAAGGTGCTACCTTGAAGATACATCCCTTCCCTTTTATTTTTAAAAAAAATTTTATATTTTTTAGAGACAGGAGTCTCACTATATTGACCAGGGTGGTCGTGAACTCTTGATCTCAAGCCATCCTCCCTCCCTCATCTCCCAAAGTGTCGGGATTACAGGCATGAGCCACTGCTCCCAGCCCATTCCTTCCCTTTTAGAGCATGACTGGTCCCACATGAGGCAAACATGTTAGACAGTCTTCGATTCGAATGTTGTACAGATGTCTCATTTCTGCTTTTGTGTTACTTTATGACAATTACCTCAAGAGCTGTGAGAGTCTCAAAAGTTTCTCAAACAAATAAATTGTATTTATTTCGAAGAGGTTTATTTGAGAAGGGATGTTTTGAAAGCAAATTCTTGGTAGAATGTCCCAGCTACCAAGAAAGTTGAGAATGTCTTACTCAAACAGTGGGAAAGAACCTGGACTATACACTAAGCAATGATCAGTCCAGTGTGTTAAGACAGGCCATAATGGAATTGTGGGAGTGTTCTGTTTCAAAGGTCATTTTTGACTGCTGGGAACATTTCTTTTCAGTTTTGTATGTGGAGAAGGTAACATGTACACACAGAGATTATTTTCTAAGCAATAAATATAGGTTGATGGAGGAGTCAGCTGACAATTTGATAAACCTTATTGCTGGTTAGTGAGGTGATGTTGAAAGTGGGTAGAGGCTACTTGTGTGGTAGGATTGGGAAGCATGTAGCTTTGAAAGAGGCAGTGGGGCCAGGCGCAGGGGCTCACGCCTATAATCTTAACACTCCGCGAGGCTGAGGCAGGAGGACTGCTTGAGCCGAGGAGGTGGAGGCTATGGTGAGCTATGGTCATACCACTGCACTCCAGCCTGTGATGGAGCAAGACTCCGTCTCCAAAAAACAATTTTAAAAAAGAACTGCTGGGATAACACATGGCCACTACAGCTCTGATTCTGTAGCCAAGTCTCTGCTCCTGTATCCCAGAGCTCCAAGAAACCTCTGAGCAAGCACAGTCCAAATTCAGAAGTGAAAAGCAGAGCCGGAAACAACTGGAATTCAAGGTGACATCCCTGGAGGAGGAACTGACCGACCTTCGAGCTGAGAAGGAGTCCTTGGAAAAGGTAAGTTCTACAACCCATTTGGCCAGAATTAGCTGTTTAATAAACATTTTTATTTTTCTTTTAAAAATTACAGTAAATATATGCTTCTTTTAACAAATATAAATAATATAGAAAAGTGTAAAATTAAAAGTTTCCCCTCTTTAATCTCATACATTGGAGATGACAATTATGAAGTATATGATCCTTCCAGATTGTTTTCTGTACGTATAAAACATACATTCACACTCATTCACACATAGATATATGTATACTGACAACATTTTTTTTATAATAATGGCATCACATTTAATGCTTTTTAGAAAAATATTGTGGACTCCTACTACATAAGAAGATCTTTCTCACTCATATTTAACTGCTGCATAGTAGCCCACTGTGAGGCTGTACCATAATCTAATTATTCACCTATCGATGGATATTTATGTTTTTAATTTTTCATTATTTCAAGCATTGCAGCTATAGACATCCTCATAAAATCTTCAAATGCTCAGATTTGTTTGAGCATTCCTATATGATGGATTGCATGATCATGGGATCAGAGGGAAGGCTACATGTTTGAATTTTTATAAATATTATCAGGTTATCCTCAAAGATAATTTTTGTAAATATTACCAGATTATCCTCAAAGAATAGCGCTTACACTTTCAGCACAATGTGAGTGAGCCCGTTTGTCACATTCTTCCCCACTCTACATACTGTACATCACTTTTTCTGATCTTTATTAGTCTGACAGGTGAAATATGTTATCTTGTTTTAACATGTATTTTTATGAGTAGTAAAGCTTTCATATACTTAATACCTGTTTGTATTTCTTATGTAAAGCTCTTTTTAGTGTCATTTATCCTCTTTCCTATTATTAGTTTGATTTGTAAACCCTATTAAGGCCATCAGTCCTTTGTCAGTTACAGATGTTGCAAATATTTTTCTAGTTTGCTCTCTTTTAACTTTATTTATAGTATCTTTTGTTGGTTAAAATTTTGGTATCAGGAAATACTAAGTGAACAAAGTGAGAACATTTCTGTCTTTTCATATGTTTTAGAATACTTTAAATGTGAAAAGAATAAACTGCTGTTGAGGCTTCAATAAATTTCATTAGTACAGCTGTTTTGGCCAAGTGCCTTTGAAGAGGGTAAATCTTGGCCTGCAATTACATTTTTTTTCTAGGATTTTCTTCCACTTTATTTAATAGTTTTCATTTTTTTCATTTTTAAATTTTTTTTATTTTTAGTAGAGATGGGGTTTCACCATGTTGACCAGGCTGGTCTTGAACTCCTGACCTCAGGTGATCCACCCACCTTGGCCTCCCAAAATGCTGTGATTACAGACGTGAGCCACTGTGCCCGACCTATTTATTTATTTTTAACCAATTTCTTCTAACCTCTTGGCTGTTTTCAGTTTTTCATTATTATAGATACTACTACAGTGACTATTCTTGTAACATATTCTTTATGACTGTGACTTATTGAATCCTTAATTACAATTTGTGGGATTTTTGAATATGTATGTTTTTAAAGGTTTTTCACGGGATTACTATCCAAAGAGGGTATATCCATTTATTTTCTTACTATCAGGGTATGAGAATGTCTGATTTCCTGTACCCTCATTAAAGTTAGGATGTTCCCTATCTTTTTTTTTTTTTTTGAGACAGAGTTTTGCTTTGTCGCCAGGCGCCAGGCTGGAATGCATGGCACAATCTTGGCTCACTACAATCTCCGCCTCCTGGGTTCAAGCAATTCTCCTGCCTCAGCCTCCTGAGTAGCTGGGACTACAGGCACTTGCCACCACACCCAGCTAATTTTTGTATTTTTTAGTAGAGATGGGGTTTCACCATGTTGGCCAGGATGGTCTCTTGACCTCGTGATCACCCGTCTCGGCCTCCCAAAGTGCTGGGATTACAGGCGTGAGCCACCGCGCCTGGCCGATGTTCCCTGTCTCTTAATAGAGGGGTAGATAAAGCTCTTCTTGTTTTCCTTCTCCTGTCACCATTTTCCTAATCTAGTAGCCAAGAATGTTAAATATTTAGGGAAAAATTAAACTAAAAAATGAAGTTTCCAGAAATGGAGTAAGGATCCCACAAGGCAAAATGCCACTGCCATCATCCCTTTTTATTCTCTGTTAACAAGCTAGAGCTGATGATGGTTCTCTTGTTCCTAAGAACCTCTCAGAAAGGAAAAAGAAGTCAGCTCAAGAACGTTGTCAGGCTGAGGAGGAGATAGATGAGATTCGTAAGTCATACCAGGAGGAATTGGACAAACTTCGACAGCTCTTGAAAAAGACTCGAGTGTCCACAGACCAAGCAGCTGCAGAGCAGGTAATGGGAAACTGAAGCACTCTGGAAATAGAGGGAAGGTATGAAGAACTCAGAGAGAAAAGCTTCTAGTTCTTCCTTACTCTTACGATGACATTTTTCATAGTTGATACTCTCACTTTGGAGAAAGGTAGAAAAAGTAATTAGATATATGCAGTAGAGCCAGGAATCAAATGGAGAATCTTCTTTCCTTTTTTTAAAAGCTTAGTTAATATTTAATTACCTAAGTAAAAATGAAAAATAGTTTCTTTATAAAAAATCCCAAACAGGATAAGGCTAAAGCCATCAACCGTCAGACACCATCCTTCAGGCACATTATCATCCTTGAAAAGAAGGGGTTTATTTAGGTCATCAGGAAGGGAAGCAGGGATAATGGCAGGACGTAGCTGGATCTCTAGTCTGTGCAACAGCAACCTTGCTCATTATAAGTTTAAAATTTATATGTATACATTTGTTTAATTAGAGCGCATTGGTGTCCTCAATTTGACCACCTCTGGGAATTTTGGTGAAAAAAGTTTCTGAACCTATAAGGTTTAGGGTTCAGACCCTGAAAAGCGATGATCACATGGCCTTGCCCTCCAGGGACCTACCTAGATAGGCACACCTTTGCTGGGAGTACCTTTTGGAGTCCTGACAACCAATGACATCTTAAGAAGTGTATTTACTTTAAAAGTCATGAGAGTCTTTTAAACAGTTTCCCAGTTAACTCTGGGCTGTTAGCTTATTCTTGTGCTTTTTGAAAGATGGGCTTCCTTAGGTGCCAATGAAATACCACTCCCCCACCCCCAAAGATGATATGGTCATTACTTTCTCTTGGCAGCTGTCTTTAGTACAGGCTGAGCTACAGACACAGTGGGAAGCAAAATGTGAACATTTGTTGGCCTCCGCCAAGGATGAGCACCTGCAGCAGTACCAGGAGGTGTGTGCGCAGAGAGACGCCCAGCAGCAGAAGCTGGTACAACTTCAGGAAAAGGTACATGTTTTTCCTGAGCCAGACAGTTTAGGCAGCCCAGTGAATTTGGGGCAAGCAGGCTGTTTGAGTCCTGCCGATCCTTCTGAGCCTGAAAGTTATTAATGGCTAGAAGACAAAACCACACTTACTGCACTTGCTTAGTTTGTCAGTTATCTTTCTCATACTTATTTGGGGTGATAGGTCAGTGACTGGAAGAAGAGAAGAAACAGCACTAGTGTTCTGGAACACGTTTCCCATTATTCTTGGATCCTTCATTTGTTAAGCAAATACTGATTGAGTGTCAGTTGTGTTCCATCCACTGTGTTAAAGTGCATACAAGGAACTCTTCCCTCACATATCTCACAGTTAAGAAAGGGAGACAAAACAAAGACAGGCATTAAGTGCTGTGGGGTGCAGAAGAGGAAGTACCCAGGAGAGCTGGGAAGGTTTCCCAAAGGAGGTGACATTTGAGCAGAGCCAAGAAGGACAAATAGCTTTTGTAAGGCAGCAAAGGAGGCAGAACATCCTGGGCAAAGGCCCTGAGATAGGATGGAGGCTGGGGTGTGGTGGGATCATCAGGCCTAAAAAAGAAAGATGGGACATGGCTTAGGGTCATGGTATGAAAGTCCCGTATTTGAGGTCAGTTTCTTTCCTTAAAGTGCCCAGTTGAAAACTTTTGACTCAGAGATCTTGGAGCCAATCTTGCAGATGAATGGGTTACTGTTAATGCTGAATGTTTATGTCTAAATGACTGGAGTTATTACCTACCCTCCTGCCCTTTTTAAATTATATTTTTGACCTGGTTAGGAACAAGGCAAGCGACCTTCATGGGAAAGAGAAAGTGAAGTTTTGAGTTGAATTTGAGTGATAAGGAGTTAGAATTCTCCGAGGCAGAGAGTCTTAGGTGGGGGCTCTGAGGAAGTGGACACCAGCAGACCTAGGTGAAGTTAAGACTTGATGCTTAGGGTACTTCTCCTCCCCTTGGGTTTTCTGATCTTCACCTGGTAATCCAGGTTCCTGAGGCCACAGCCACAGTCTGTTTGTTTTGCAGTGTTTAGCCCTCCAGGCCCAAATCACAGCTCTCACTGAGCAAAATGAACAGCACATCAAGAAACTAGAGAACAACTCACAGATGCCTGGGGTTGAAGCTGCTGTGTCTGACCCCTCAGAGAAGGTGAGCTGGTATTTCAAAGGAGAAGCAAGCCATACCATAGCAAGCATTCAGAAAGAATGTGGCCAGTATGTTGTGTTAGTAGCTCTTTTTCTAACTTTAGTGATGTTTTACCTGTCTGATGACTTTAAACTGAACCAGATTTGCTTCTTGAGTTTAAGGAGCTTACAGTCTAGTGGGGAAAACAAACGAATACTTACATATTATATATTAAGTGGCAAACCCAAAAGAACCTATCTTTCGGAGGTTTTGGCAGGTACAGGAAGGGCCTCCAAACCACAGGAGAGGAACGGGGCTTGGGGAGTGTGCCCAGCATTCACTGGCCTCTGACCCTTAGAGCCTATGGCAGCTCCTAGTGGTGCTCACAGTGGGAGGGGGACTTCAAGAAATGGTCTTTAAGCAGTCTTGGGCACCCAGACCACAGCTTGCCTGCCATTGATAGGTAACTCTTATGGCTAGCCCTTCTGTCAAAGTGCTGCTCATTATTTAATATCATCCTCTCCACAGTGACAACCTTCAGTGTCTCTGTTATGACCAGTGGTATCCTAGTGTAGAGATCTAAGATGGCTTCATTTTGGCCTTCTCTGGAATTTAATGCATCCTTTAGTGACTTGATTTTGGCAGCATGTGTTTTGATGCTCACACAGGTCAAGAAGATCATGAACCAGGTGTTCCAGTCCTTACGGACAGAGTTTGAGCTGGAGGAATCTTACAATGGCAGGACCATTCTGGGAACCATCATGAATACTATCAAGGTACAGCCAGCCAGCTGTCAATTGTTTCATCACAATGGGCATTATGTTGCTTAAGTGCCTTCTAAGGGATCATTAATAAAAAATTGTTCAAGGATGGCACGGTGGCTCATGCTTGTAATCCCAGCACTTTGGGAGGCCAAGGTGGGAGGACTGCTTGAGACCAGGAGTTCAAGACCAGCTTGAGCAACATAATGAGACTTTGTCTCGACTAAAAATAAAAATTAAAAAATTAGCTGGGTTGGCATGTGCTTGCAGTCCCAGCTCACTTAGGAGGCTGAGGCAGGAGGATCACTTGAACCCATGAGTTCAAGACTGCAGTGAGCCATGATTGCCCCCGACTGCCCTCCAGCCCCGAGTGAGACCCTGTCTCCAAAGGCAAAAAAAAATTATTCAGGACAGTTCTTCAGTAATTAGGATGCCTGGAGTGACTTCACAGATACGGTCACCCTCCTTTAACAGGAAAGAAGCAGTCATTTAAACTAGATGGCCAGCAGTGTTAAAAGAATTAGGAGTGGCTACTGTGTTCCTTTTATTGACCATCTCCTCTTTGGCTTTTGAACAGATGGTGACTCTTCAGCTGTTAAACCAACAGGAGCGAGAGAAGGAAGAGAGCAGCAGTGAAGAAGAAAAAGCGGAAGAGCAGCCACGGAGACCTTCCCAGCAGCAGTCAGCCTCAGCCAGTTCTAGGCAGCCTGGGGCACCCCTGAACAGGGAGAGGCCAGAGTCCCCCATGGTGCCTTTAGAGCAGGTGGTCAAGGAAGTTGTCCCGTTGCCTACTCAGGCCCTCACCACTTCCCAGGATGATATACACAGAAGGAAAGGGGACTCAGAAGCAGAGGCACTCTCAGAGATAAAAGATGGTTCCCTTCCACCCGAACGGCCTTGCATCCCATCCCACAGAGTTCTGGGGCCCCCAACGTCAATTCCACCTGAGCCCCCAGGCCCTGTAATCATGGACTTTGAGTGTGAGGAGACACTTGCTGCCAGCCCGATGGCAGCTAAGCCCGACAGCCCATCAGGAAAGCTCTGTGTCAGGGAAGTAGCACCAGAGGGCCCACTGCAAGAAAGCTCCAGACCGTCCTTGACTTCAGACCCCAAGAAGGGGGACCCACTGGCCTTAGGGCCTGAAAGCCTAGGAGAGCCTCAGCCTCCAGAGCTCAAAAAAGATGATGATGTCACTAGCTCTGCTGGTCCCCCTGAGGAGCTGTCAAGCACAGAGGCAGGTTCCACAGTTGCAGGAGCAGCCCTCAGACCCTGCCATCATTCCCAGCGTTCCAGGTATGTTCCTCTGAGCACTGCTCCAGGGACAGGGTGACTATCTGTGTTGAGTGTCTCTGTTTTCTCCAGTCTCTGTTCATCCCTCAGAGACTAATTTACTCATGTATTCATTCATTCATTGATGCATTAATTCAACAACACCTACCATGTGCAAGGCTCTGTGGTAGGCACTGGATAGTGTGGTAGGCAAGGCAGGTTTGGTTCTTGAGTTTAAGGAGCTGACAGTCAGGTGGAGACAACAAATACTTATATATTGTAAAAATATGGTAAGTGCTTTAAAAAAAGAAACAGGGTGTTATTCTAAAGGGGTTGTTCCACTTTTGATAGGGTGGCTAGGGAAGGATTCTGAGAAGGTAAAATTGAAAAGATCACTCTGGCTGTAGGTTCTGGAGGGCCCAACCACACTAGGAGGCCACTGTAGGATGTGGGAAGAGATAGTGGCAGCGGAGGTGGGAAGAATTTCTGAGCAGCCACCAACACTTGAATTCTTACCCAAGGGCCTGTGACCCTTATAGGTGGTGGGTACTGTGACCTGGAGCAGGAACAACAACATTTTCTATGATTTGATTTTCCTTCAGTCTCTCTGGGGATGAAGAGGATGAACTTTTTAAAGGGGCAACTCTGAAAGCTCTGAGGCCCAAAGCACAGCCTGAGGAGGAGGATGAAGACGAGGTGGTAAGGAAATCCCAGGCACTGCCAAGTTCTCATACAGCCTCTTGGGGGCTCTTCCCCACGGGCTCTGAGAAGAGAAATGGAGTCTGTTGGTGGCCCACTCCCTGGACTCTGTGTGCAGGGCCCTGTGGGAGCAGTCTTAGGACTGGGCTGGTAGGGTGCAGCTCTGAAAGCAGAGTGGGGACGGTCACATACTGCTTTACTTTTGAGAAAGAATCATAGTCTCTGTCCATGCAGGAATTTTTCCCCTGAGAGGAGGAAAGTTGGGCTGCCTAGTCCCACATTGGAATGCTGAAGCCTTAGGCTTCCCCAAATCTGCTAGGATATTGTTTATATTTTAGAATTGGGAAGGACTTTGAAGATCATCTTGCCTGGCATCCTTATTCATAGATAAAGAACCTGAGACTCAAAAGGATGATTTACCCGAAGCCACAGAGTGAGTTAGCGGCAAAGCTAGAACCCCCAGGCTCCTATAAAGACCACCTGCTCCTGAGCATTTTCCACTTACTCAGCCTGCTTTCCTGCTGCCTTGTTTTGTCATCACAATATCCCTGGGCACAAAATGGGTTCAGTACTAATAGCATAGCTTCATTAAACAGAGAACAAGAGTGAAGGCCAGGAAAGGAGGGTGTCCACAGGGACTGAAACAGAACCCTGGTTCTCGCACCTGCTGTTCCCCATTGTGCTAGGTTACAGCTGTTCTGGCTGTCACTAGGCCATTTTGACTGCTCTGAAATGCAGCAGAGAGCTGTGATGGATCTGCGATCCAGCTTGTATGTGCCAGAGCCCTTCCCTCTTGCCTGTGTTTCTTTGAGGGAATGTACCAGTTCCTTTCATTAGTCTTTCTTCCCAAGAATTAAATTTCTGTTTGAGAATCCAGAATACCAATCCTGCCCTAAAAAAAGGAAAAAAGGGGGAAAAATACCAATTGAGGATATTCTAAGTGACTGCCCTAAATGTTGCTGGAAGTTTTTAATTAGTGAGTATATTCTTGGATTAGCACTAATACCATCAAGTTAATATGTATTTCTTGGGTACTCTGAAAATGACTTCACAAACGGTCTCATTTTATCTTCTACTAATCCAATGAGGTAGATACTTTATCCCATTTTATAGATCAGAGGGCTGAGGCTCAGGAAGATTAATAATTTAACTAAGCTTATATAGCCAGTAAACGTAGAGCCAGAACTTTAACCAGGACAAAACAGAAGCTGTGAGCCACACTTGAAAATCCTATACTGTCTATACTGTTAGAGTTAGAGATCACTTCACTGATGTCTGAAGTACAAGGTCTGGTTAATTGGTAGTGACATGGGATTAGACCAGAGATGTGTGCACACACCTTGCTGCCTTCCCTTTTGCCTGGCCCTGTGAAGGTGGATCCTGGTTGGCAGTAGCTCACCAGAGCAGAGAATGACTTGGTGGAGACTATTTGGTTCATGCTTATCTCTAGCATCAGTCCCTGCTGCTCACGTAGGTCCTGTTCCCCTGCCAGGAACAGGAAAAGAAAGTTCAGGAGCTCAAGTTGTGAAAAGAGTGGGTCTCTCATGGCCCATCAATCCCTTTCACCCACTCACTACCTAGCTGGAAGGAGCTAGAGGTGTGGGAGGCTGTGGCTCTGTGTTCTTCACCTCTTGGGATTCTCCACTTGGCCAAGCCTCTAAATTAAACACTTTTTCAAATGATGGGATCACACCCAGAGCCAGTCAGCCTCGGCCACAACAACAGTGTTTTTTCATATGTGGTTGTCTTCTTTTCAGCCTCCCTTCTTCCCACATCCTCTTGCTCTCTCAGGGCTGCTCTGCTTCTGGTTCTTTCTCCCACTCCAGTGTTTTCTCTTTGACCCTTCTTTCTCCACACAAAATGTGTAAGTTACTGCATGAGAGGGGAACCTGTCAAATCAATACATGTGCTTCACAAATAAATGATGAGATTAGCCAAACAAAGTTGGTCTTTTGTCTCTGTTGGAAGATTGCCTCCCTTCTCTGCCTGCTTGTCTCAGTTATCTGGAAGCCTAGGTTTGCTGGCCTCAGAGTTGGCCCTGTCAGTACAACCTCCTTTCCATCCTAGAGCTGGGAACAGAAATTGGATTGCTTCCACACACAGGTGGAAAGTCCAGTGGTGCAGGGACAAGTGAGGACTGACTACTGTTTCCTGTTTTATCAGAGCATGAAGGGACGCCCGCCCCCAACACCCCTTTTTGGAGATGATGATGATGACGATGACATTGACTGGCTGGGATGAAGACCCAGGAAACTGGTGCAAAGGTTTCTCTGCAACCCTTCCCTAAGCATGATTTTGCACAGCCAACCCTGGGTCTAGGCGAGCCACAGGGTGAGGTCAAGGTGAGCATTCTGGGAACAATAGTTCGGGCTCAGAAGGTGACTTAGCCATCTTCTGAGCCCCACCCCTGCCTGGCCTGGTGAAGAGGATCATAACCCTGTCTTCGAAAACACTGGGTTTTCAGCAGCAAGTTGGAAGAAGGACTGGCAGGTTCCCCTCCAGCCAGTCAGTCACCTGCAAGAGTCCTGTCCTCTGCCAAACTTTTTAACCTCTTCTTTAACTCTCAGACTGACCTGGGAGCCCTCCTCTACCTGAATCCAGTGCTCAACTCTGCCCCAGCAACAAGACAAGTCACTTGGGCTGAGGTCTCCCTGGTAGAAGAACCAAGGGAGATTATACCATCTAAATCCCGGTGCAGTTAACAGTCTGGCCTGTAGTCCTGGGACATGTATCTTTTTCTCTGCCTTAAATCTGATACAAGAGGTCAAGGACTATTTGAAAATAAAACTAAAATAAATGTCTATAATGAAACTTGGCTCAAGCCCTTGGAGGGAAATTGAGTTTGGTTCCAAGGGCTGTCTACTCCTTTATGGGAATCGAAGGGTAGGAGTCATAACAGATCTGGGTCAGTTAACAGGCACAGAACATTGTGACATACTACTCCCTCTGGTACCTAACCCTGGAACTTTTCGGCTCTCAAAGTCACCACTCTGCAGTCCTAGCCCATCCCTGGGGCATGATGGTTCTCTGAGGACCAGTCCAGTCATCCTGCTGCTCCCGCAGGCTTAGTCCTGCTGTCTAGGAAGCCATGCAGAGAAGGTGGGAAGGTCCCTTCTTTCCATTGTTAATGGCACCTGAGGGATTCTTTACTATGAGAGCAGCTTCCATTCCCTTAGAACTCATGGGACCAGGTCTAATGCAGAGAATGGTAGTGAGAAAATATTTGTGGTCATTTTCTTGATTCCAGGATCTTCCAAAGACCATGCAACCAGTCTTCAAAAAAACAGAGTAATTTTAATAAAAATATTCCTTGATTTTAAATGTTTATGAGCTAGGACTCAAATTCCATTTCATCTGGCCTAGCATCATCCTTGCAGGCTTTGGGTATGTCTCCCATGTGTGGGCCTGGGAGGCAGTGAGAACTAATTATTTATTTGTTGCTTAACAAAAGGCAGTGCTGTGTGGCTCTTTACACAGACTGGCTTATCTCCAGCAACCATTGCAGAAGACAGTGTTATCCCCATTTTATAGAGGAGAAAACTGAGACTTAGAGAGGTAAAGTAACTTGTCCAAAGTTACATAGCTAGGAAGCCTAAGAACAAGAATTCAAATCCTGGCCATCTGATTCCAGAGCCTGTGCTCTTGGCCAGCACAGCAGCTTTCCCTGTCTGACCATCACTGTTTTGGGGAAGGGCATCATGTTGGCCAGGCTGGTCTCAAACTCCTGGCCTCAAGTGATCCTCCTGCCTCGGCCTCCCAAAGTGCCAGGATTACAGGCATGATCTGGCTCTAAAGCATAGATTCTTTTCAAAAAAAAATTAAGTCCTCCATACTATAAAAACCACAAATGTCTAACCGCATTTAAAGAGACTGTCAAACTGAAGAGGTTGCCAATCATCCATGGAGATGCCAATCTCCACAGTACCACAGGGGAGGGAGCATTAGCTTAAGAGATGGACTGTTGACGCTCCATCAGTGAAAACACATCTGCTGTACAAAATCTTCAGCCTACTGAGACTCCAGGCAGCTTCCAAATTCCCTGCAAACATGGGGGATGCCCTGATGAATCCTAAGGGTGTGACATACTCTACTCTCTAGGGCAGTTATTTCTTATTGTAAATTAGTGGCTATTATATTTTCTTCTGTAAGCAGGGAGAGAAGATGCTCAACAGTTGTGCTAACACAGGTGTTTATAGTCTATGTGACAGCTACTTTTCTTACAGCAGGTACCCAATTAATGCTTGTTATATGAATGAAGAATGACTTGCCTAAGTTGGCATTCTGGGGTGTCGACCTGGGTGCAGCATTTCAGGGCTGGGTTTCCCTGAGCAGAGCTGTCTTCGTAGCAGATGGATGGACCCTGTCCTCAGACAGCCTTATAAAGAGCATTACCAGCTCCACTCAGCTTAGCCCCACTCGGCTCCTGCAGTTGTTATAAGGGTTCATGTGCTTTCTGATGGAATGAGGAGAACAGAAGAACAGTCATAGACTGTTTAAAAATATATATTTACTAAAATGTATTTGTTTTTAATTCCCAAAGCTTACAACCATCTTTTCATCTAGTCTGTGAGGTACAGTATACAGCAGTGATTTTCTCTCTTTTTTATAAAGTGAAGAGGTTCAACTATCCAGGGAGTCCCATCTATCTTGAAAACTGTAATGGCTTTGGTTGGATTGCATCTTCAGTCAGTACCCTGCCATGGCTTAATCAGTATTTTAAGTGAATGAATCATGTTTCCCTACCAGATCATTACGAGTAAGCAGTAAGTAATAAATAGAGAACATTAAGTATTGAACATTATTAAATTCAGTTTTTTGTTCTGCGTAGAAGAAAGATGAGGATAAAGGAGGGCATTAAGGCCATGAAGAACTTTCCGGACAGCCAAGGCCATCAGATGATTCTTCCTGCAGGCAGTGCCTTCTGGTAGAAGGAGCTCAGTCTATCAGAGAATTAACCAGAAGCCTGAAAGCAGTCCTGTGTTTCTGCCTTTAATCAGCTGTCACTTATTCTCCCCCCAAGAAAGGGAAATAGGTCCCAGCAGTTGCTGCTATCCATCATGAATAAAATGAAATCATTTCATTAAAAATTTTTATATGAATGTGCAAAATTGCCAACTAGGAGTTTAATGGGAAAAATAAAAAAATGTTAGTGTGTCATCATCCACAGAAGAGATGATCTTCATGTATTCCAAAGGCAGAAAGGTGAGAAAAATGATCTAGCTTGTTCTCTGTCCCTCAAAGACAGAAGAGGTCGGGGAGTCCAATGGATGACGCTCCTGTAGATAAGGCACAAAGCAGGAGAGCTAAGGGTGTCCAGGTTCCATGCCCTACATCACCAAGAACCCTTCTCCCTGCCTTGAAATCTTTGGAAATTCCTGGTTTGAGTCACAGAAATGCATTGTCCTGGGCTCAGCAACCCTGCCACCCCTGTTCTCGCCATTCTCCCTTTGGTCACAGCAGCTGTCTTAAGACACAAGACCAGGCCTGGGCCCCGTGCAGACTGGCTGAGAAGAAGGTTGCTGCAATGGCGTCCGAACTCCAGGGAGCAAGTGCTGGCTTCAGCTCAACATTCCCAGGGGCTGCGAACAAGGGGGAGGAACAGCCATCAGAAGAAAGGGCCACTGGAAGTACAATGTCTGGAAGAGGGAGCCCCATGTCCCTCCAGCCTCAGTGCCTACACATTCCTCACCAGCTAAGCCACGCTGAGAAGTGGGTAAGCTAGGTAGTAGCCCACAGCAGAGCCCAGGACCACACCAAGGAAAATCCAGGTGTTGTAGGACATTACGGCCAGCATGATGAAGTAGCCGATGACCACCTGGACGACATGGATTAGAGACTGGCCAAAGTGACACAAATACCACCTAGATAAAAAGGAGAATCAAGTTAATGCTGGTAATGAGCTAGAAGCTGGGAGTTGATATCAGGGAGTAGAAAGCTATTGAGTTATGCGACCAGATTATTTATAACTTGTATGCTTAACCTAGGAGAGATTTCTTTCTGCCCCCAACCCCCACCGCCAGAAAGAACTCAAGAGATTTCTTTTTAAAGAGACATATCTTCACTACATTTGGTTCTGAGCTTCCTGGCATCCTAGGCGAAGGGGAAAATGATAGGATATATAATCTATCTTTCTGACAAGGAACAAGAGATAATCATCAGTAATGCATATTTTCCCCCTGAATTTACTTGGGAGGCAATATGACAATGGAAAGAAAAAGCATGGACAATTGGGCACGGTGGCTCACACCTGTAATCCCAACACTTTGGGAGGAGGCCGAGGTGGGCAGATCACGAGGTCAGGAAGTCAAGACCATCCTAGCCAACATGGTGAAAACCTGTCTCTACTAAAAGTACAAAAAAAAAAAAATTAGCTGAGCCTGGTGTTGTGTGCCTGTAATCCCAGCTACTTGGGAGACTAAGGCAGGAGAATCGCTGAACCTGGGAGGCACAGGTTGCAGTGAGCTGAGATTGTGCCACTGCAGTCCAGCCTGGTGACAGAGCTAGACTCTGTCTCAAAAAAAAAAAAAGGAAGAAAAAGCATGGACTTAGGTGACATATCAGTTCCTACCTCTGCTACATACTGAAAGTGGCCTAGACAAATGTCTTAACTTCTCTGAACTTAAGATTCCTTATCAGTAAAACAGGAAGAACACCTCCCTTGCAGTGCAGTTGTGAAGATCTGAGGTGCTCATGTAGGGTAGTTAGTGATGGAGCAGGCAGGCTTATTAAGCACAGGCGAGGCTGCGGCTGGACAGAGGCGGAACAGGGACCCTAAATGGTTGCCTGATTCGAGTGGGAAGGGAGAAGAGGCGAGCTTGTCTTCCTCTTCCCACCAAGTGGAATATATTGCTTCAGGACAGCTGCAGATCCCCTCCTGGATATGGAAGCCTAGCTACACATGGAACTGGTGAGATTTGGGGGCGGGTGGCCACCCCTATTGCTAGATAGGGGCCCACATCTGAAGATCACAGTTCCCTAAAGAAAGCCTCTGAGAGGCTGTTCACAGAGAGTGCTTTCACCTGGGCATCAGGAGACATAAGCTCTAGTTCACTTGACTATGTGTAGTCCCTTTGGCAAGTCGTGGTCCTTCCCTGGGCCTCGCTGTCCTCTCTCTGAAGTGGGGCTGATGCTGTCTGGGCCAGCCTATCTCTCAGGGTGAATGTGAGGCCTCTAATCCTTTCCCATACCCACTGCCCATACCTGTGGTGGGTTCTGCTGACAGGGGATGAATCTGAGCCTGCAGACTCCCCATCTGTCTCTGCGATAGCCTGCTGGCTGATGCAGGTAGGCAGGTTCACCAGCACCTGGTGGAGCAGCTTGGCTTTGCCAACCTTGATGCCTTCATATAGCACAGCCAGAAGCAGGACCACCAACACCGAAAGGGCCATGCCTGTCAAAGGAGGCAGAGTTGTGGAGACCTGGCCAGGCCGCACTGTTTCCCTTCCAGCACCTCCACCCGGTCCATGGAATCCACTCCATCCACCTTTCTCTTGCATCTTCTTCCCCACCCTTGCTGAGCTCCAAACTTCTTCACTATCTTCATCTTCACCAGACCTTTCTTAGTAGGATTGGCCTATTGGAGTGTGGCTCTGAGATCAGGAAGAGAAGCTGCCTGAAAAAGCCAGGGGCTGAGGGGGAAGAAGCCTTTTGCCATCACCCCAGCCACTCCCCCTGCAGGCTGCACAAATCTGTCGTGACTTCTTGTTAAGGGCTGACTACTGCAAGGTCCTATTTATATGTAAGTATGCAAAAAAAAGTCTGGAAGGAAAGATAAATAGCAGAAGAGTAATAGTTATCTCAGCAAAGTAGGATACAGGTGGTTTGTATGACCTTGCCTAACCTTCTAAGGTTTCTTTTATACATATTACCTTTATAATAGGGGAAAACCCAGTAAGTTATTTTATAGAAAATATCAAGTGCTTATTAGAGCTGCTATGTAAAATTAACTGCCAATTACTACTTCCATTTCACTAAGAGGGATAATAATTGGTCCAGCTAAAGTATTTTATTGGACTCTGCGACATAATAAGAAATATATATCCTGTTTCTGCCCTGGTTTCCAGGCACACGACTTCTAGAACCCTTGGAAACTCTGAAGTGTTGTCTTTTTATATGCTAATGAGATGACTGATGGCTGGGGTCCTGGATGGGCTCTGGACGGGGCTGGTTGCCAGGGGAGCCAACCTTGTGCTTGGAGGTTGGCACTTTCAGCCCCGCTCCCTACCTCTGGGAGGAGAGAGGGACTGAAGGTTGAATTGATCACCAGTGGCCAATGATGTAAAAAATCATGTCTGTATATGATGAAGACTCCATAAAAACCCAAAAGGATGCAGTTAGATAGAAGGAATACGTTCTTGCAGTTAGATAGAAGGAATAAGTTAGATAGAAGGAAATTATAATTAACTGTAATTTATTATATATTTCAAAGCAGAATTATAATATTCCCAACACAAAGATAAATGTTTGAGGTGACAGGCACCCCAGTTACCCTGATTTGATCATTATATATAGGTATCAAAATATCACATGTACCCCCAAAACATGTACAGATATTATATATGAATGATTTCTTTAAAAGGACAGGATTTGAAAAGCTTCTAGTTGCTGAACACGTGAGGGTACCTGGAAGGTGGCAAGCCCAGAAAGGCCCTGGAGGCTCTGAACTCCTTCCTACATGCCTTGCCCCATGCATCTTTTCCACCCAGCTATTCATTGTACTTTTTTATTTTTTTGAGATGGAGTCTCGCTCTGTTGCCCAGGCTGGAGTGCAGAAGCATGATCTCTGCTCACCACAACCCCTGCCTCCTGGGTTCAAGCGATTCTCTTGCCTTAGCCTCCTAAGTAGCTGGGATTACAGGCACCCACCACCACACCTGCCTAATTTTTTTTTTTTTTTTTTTTTTTAATTTTAGTAGAGACGGAGTTTTACCATGTTGGTCAGGCTGGTCTTGAACTCCTAACCTCAGGTGTTCCACTTGCCTCAGCCTCCCAAAGTGCTGGGATTACAGGCATGAGCCACCGCACCTGGCCCATTTGTACTCTTTTTTAACAAATGGGTAAACTACTTAGTAAAGTGTTTCCCTGAGTTTTATGAACCAATCTAGCAAATAATTGACCCCAGTGAAGGTGTTATGGGAACTCCAATGTATAGCCGGTTGCCCAGAAGTACGGGAGAAAACCTGGGACTTGCAATTGGTGCCTGAAGTAGGGGGCAGTCTTGTGGGACCGTGCCCTTCACCTGTGGGATCTGCACTAACTCTGGTCAGTGTCAGATTTGAATTGAGTTGTAGGACACCTAGCTGGTATTAGAAAATTGGTCACTGGGGAAAGCCCACACATCTGGTCACAGAAGTGTGTTGAATGTAAGAGAAGGAAAAACAGTAATTAGCTGGGTGTTGTGGTGCACGCCTGTAATCCCAGCTACTCGGGAGCCTGAAGCAAGAGGATCGCTTGAACCTGGGAGGTGGAGATTGCAGTGAGCCGAGATCGCACCACTGCACTCCAGCCTGGGTGACAGAGACTCCATCTCAAAACAAAAAAATAGAAAAAGAAAAATCAGTTTTCTTCCCACCCCAGTCTCCCTATACCCCAATTCTCTTCCTCAGAGCAACCTCTTTTACTCAATGTGTATATCAGCTTCTGTTTGTCCAAATGACAGCATCCTATCTACACAGACTCTTCTGCATTTGACTTCATCATCCAGTTGTACCTCAGTTCACTTCCCCGGTGGCTTCATCATATCTGTGATAGATTATATTTTCCAAAGACAGCCATTCCAATATACCCCACCCCACATGTGAGGAACTCTTCAAAATGACCGTACTTCTAGCTGCTGTCTGACTATACTGCATGAGAGACCTTCCGTGAGGACCACTCAGCTGGGTCCAGTCAACTCACAGAACCTTGAGAGAGAATGATAACGTGACGTTTCAAGCCACTGTTTATCAGCAATAGATAACAAGAAAGAGTAACCCATTGTAAGGATGACCATAATTTATTTAATCTCCACTTGCAATAATGAGCATTTGGGCTATTTCCAGTCTGTTTTTAAGATGCAGTTATTTAAGTTGAAAAATAACTTCTCCATGAATTAGTGCCAGACTCTGCTTTTTCAAGTCAAAGGAGTCCCTTTCAAACTGGTGTTTCATCTACTGCATCTGCTGTGGGCTTCTGAAGTGGTGCAGAAAAATGAACACAGGATATGAGAGGTGCCAGGGGACACTAGGAGGCCTTGATCTAATTGTGACTCTGATGCATACTTACTGTGTGACCCTGCATGAGTCTCTTCCTGTCTCTGGGCTTTAGTTTCTTCCACTGTAACAGAGGGAAAAGCTGCCTCCCTGCCTCTCTTGGCCTTTGTGAGGATCAGTAGGATAATGGAGCCCTTTGTGACCTGAAGGGGAATCGTTGCAAATGGAATGATAAAAGCAAAGTTCCTGCTCAGTGTTTATGCCAGAGGAGCCAGCCTCACTTAAATGCCCACAGAGAATCAAGAGAACCCAGATTCTCCATTGCCTAGTGCTACAGAGCTTTCCAAGCTACAAGTTTGAGCTCCCCAATTCTTACCAGCAGGACTGTGGACACTCCAGAAATCAAACAGAAGCACCACTGTATCTGAGAAGATGAAATGCATCTGAAAAAGAAGGGAATCTGCATCATAGGGGTTCGGGACAGAGGAAGTCACGGTCTCTAATGCTCTCCAGCAGCCTCCTCTGGGAGGACAGAAAAATGGAGTCACTAGAAGTGCTGGAGGGTCATCAGAAGTCATCAGGACCAACTGAGGCCATAAGGAACTGAGACTTGCCCAGGAGGGTCAGTAGCAGAGCTGTAATTGAGCTGGGCCTGCTCCATATGAAAGTAGAGGTGTGGGCCAGGCACAGTGGCTCATGCCTGTAATCGCAGCACTTTGTGAGTCTGAGGGGGGTGGATTGTCTGAGGTCAGGAGTTCGAGACCAGCCTGGGCAACATAGTGAAACCCCATCTCTACTAAAATACAAAAATTAGCCGGGAGTGACAGCGTGTACCTGTAATCCCAGCTACTTGGGAGGCTGAGACAGGAGAATCGCTTGAACCTGGGAGGCAGAGGTTGCAGTGAGCCAAGATCGCACCACTGCACTCTAGCCTGGGTAACAGAGCAAGACTCTATCTTAAAAAAAAAAGAAAAAAGAAAAGAAAATAGAGGTCTGGGAGTGCCCATCCTCACTGGACCACTGGCTTGGGATGTGACAGTGTCCTTAGACTATGTGAGAATGTCCCCTCCATGCGTTCCAAGAGCAGCTGCCTCTTCTTACTCCCCGGGGCTCTAGCCATTCTGCTCTGGCTCCAATGTGATGGGAGCCTGGAGTCCTCTTTGTCCTGCTGAGTCCAGATAGATCCCATTGTGTTTATCGTGGAGGGGCCCAGAGGCAGCTGTCTTCAGTCTGTACTCCACATCTGTCCACTCATTCACTAAACATTTGCCCTGTTCCCTGTTCATGTGCCCAGCGTTATAGAGGTATGTTAATGTCTCTGACCTTGGTTAGTTCACAGCCTTACAGGAAAGACTGCAGGTAAACCAGTGTCCCTGGAGTGCCCATCAGATGCGTTTTCAAAGGGTGCTTGCTCCACCCCATGTTCAGGATGGCATCATGGCCTTTTTCTACATCATCTCATTTCAACGTCACAACAGTCCTCTGTATGACAGGGACAATTAGGTCCATTTTACAGGAAGGAAAACTATGGAAACTAGCCTTAAAGAAGTAATTTGCTGGTGGTCACAAAGCTAGTAAGTTGGCAGAGCTGGGATTCAAACCTGAGTCTAGCTGGATTCCAAAGCCCTGGACATTCCAGGACACTGTGCTTCCTCCCAGTCTCCAAGAGGGGAGGGTATGATAGGAGCCGGATGGCGAGTTTAAGCACCCACACCAGGCTTAATGACTGTTTGGAAAGACGAGGGCCCAACAGATCTATCAGTCAGTTCACCCTCTCAGGGAATGGAAGGCCCCCTCTGGTCCCCAGGTAAGCCCTCTGTAGCCAGCACAAGCAGTTCTGCAAACACTGTCAGTGCTTACCCAGCTAAGGAGAGCCTGGCTGAGTTGTAATCAGCTAGCGGAAGCCTTTGCCTTCTAAGACAAGAGGCAAATATTAGGATCCTTGAATGTCGGCACTAGAGGTATCCTCAAGAGTTTTTAGTCCCATGGCTTTCAACTTTTTTCATCAGGGAACACTAGCCAATTTAAATCTTTCTTGTAATTCCATTATATAAAACACGGGGCTCTGGGTGAAGATGGGAGAAAAATCTGAGCTCTTCTGAATCTCAGTTGAAAAATGCTGATCTGGCCCAACTTCAGTCCCTTTCCACCCCTTCTCATTTCCAGATGAGGAAAATGATTACAAAGAAGGAAAGTGATTTGCCCGACTTCCTTAGAAGCGTGGTTACTGGCTGGGCGAGGTGGCTCATGCCTGTAATCCCAGCACTTTGGGAGGCCGAGGTTAGCAGATTATTTGAGGACAGGAGTTCAAGACCAGCATAGCCAACATGGTAAAACCCTGCCTCTACTATAAACACAAAATTTAGCTGGGCGTGGTAATCCCAGCTACTTGTAATCCCAGCTGCTCAGGAGGCTGAGGCAGGAGAATCACTTTACAGTGAGCAGAGATTGTACTACTGCCCTCCAGCCGGAGTGACAGAGAGAGACTCCGTCCCAGAAAAAAAAAAAAATCATGGTTACTCTCTGTGTTCAAGGGAGGAAGATAAGGAGACTATGGGTTTTCGTGAAGGCTGTGGGGGCCATCAGTTCCTAGAGAAAAGGAGTTCAGGCAGAGGCAAATGTCAGTGGTGGGTGGAAGGATGGGCAGATTTGATTAGCTGCCATTTTGACAGGAAGCTGTGCCATGTGGGTGTCCCGTGGCCTCCCAGAAACCAGAGCCACAAACTTCTGCTTGCAGCTGACAGCCCTAAACCACAGGCCTTGCATGTTCTTGCCGCCTCCAGTCGTCCCCTTCTCAATATTTAGGACCAAAGGAGATGGTAAAGAATAGCAGACTGAGTCTAGGATTTGGAACAAAACAGATTTGTTAACCAGGGCCTGCCTCTCTCTGGCCTCAGTTTCCTCCAAGGGGAGCTGGGAGAAAACCCTGCAAAGGCATCCATACACAGTGACACACAGAAAGGGCTCATCCCAGTGCCTTTTCCCCATACATGTTAAAGCTGGAGGGGTGTTTCTCAGAAGTGTTCCATGGGAGAAGCACAGGATGCTAGGAGGTACTGGGAGAAATGGATTCTGTGGTCAAGGGAGTTTGGGAGAGACTGGAATTGGTCAAAATAAGATTCAACAGCTTTCTGCACTGCCAGAAGCCTGTACCTAAAACTCTCTCCTACCCTTTTTTTTCTTGCTGAGTGCCCCATAGGAGAGAATCTCATAGACTCTCCTCTAGGAAGTGCTAATCTAGAGCAACCCTCTTTTTTCATACTTGGGAGGGAAATGACACTTACTATTATTCTGTGCCAGGCACTCTTCTAAAAATATTACATGTCTTAACCCAATTAATTTCAAGGGGGATTATTCTTACCTCCATTTCATAGATGAGACTACAAGGCAGAGAGAATTTAAGTAGCTTACCAAGTTGCTAGCTAGAATTTTGCCTGGGTGGGCTGGCTTTAGATTCTGTGCTCCTAACTGCTCTCAATGCAGCCTCTCAGGGCACCACAGGAAGTCCAAGGGCAGTTGTGACACACCCAGGGTCACACTGTCAGTTGGTGGCAGCCTCATGACTGGATCCTGGGTCTTCTCACCAGGCCCTCATTTGGCAAGAGGAAAACAGATGCTACAACGCAAAGAAGAGCCCACTTTCTTGTGTAATACTAGACAGAGATGAGGGCTGTGCCGTCTTTCAGTTGTTTTAACATTTCAGGAAGATATGCAAACAGGAGAAGAAGCAGATATGGCCCCTTTGGGACAAAATACAGGAAGAAATTGGGGAGAGGAAGGAAGGTATGAGAAAAAGCCTCTGTGCAATTGGGATAGTCGTGCTTAGCCCCCCAAGGATGTTCAGCCAGCAGCTGGCCCGTATTTCCTGAGAAAGACAAAGAGTGCACATGAAGTAAAGGAAACAAACAAGGACCAGTCTGGGGATGGAAGAGTAAGGCTAGAGCCCAGGAACGGCAGAGGGATAACAGGATGAAAAGGCAAAGAGGAAGGGCTGGGAGGGAGGAAACTGGAGTGGATCACAGGTGTGGATGACGATGCTGTTATTGCCGAATCCGCAGAGGCAGAGTCAGCCCCAGGTGAATCACTGGGAAACCACAGGCCAGTCATGAGCTCCACACTGGCAAGTGGCTTAGTGTGGAGGGACAGCAGCAGCTGCTTAGACTCCAGGGCCTTATTAAAAGGGCTGATTCCTGGGCCTCCTCAGGCCCCTAAATCAGAGTCCAGGGGCAGAGCCACAGGAGGCAGGGAAGACATAGATTTTCACCAGCACCCTTCAGGAGATTCTGAGGCTCAGTGCACTTTGTTACAGCTTGAACAGAGTCAGCAAGGCTAGTGGGTAGGGATACAGTTTATAGAGCTGCACTGCCTGGATCTACCTCCCAGCTCTGCCAGGAACCAGCTGCATGGCCTTAAGCTGCTGACACACAGAAAGCCCCCATGGACCTCAGTCTCCTCATCTGTAAAATGAGGATAGGCCTCTAGCAACACTTTCCCTTGGTTTGGCCTCACTTTTACAAGCTCCCAACCTGAGCTCTATCTACTCTTTTCCTGAAATCTTGTAAAAGAAAAAAGTGGTAGCCTGGGAAGCATGGCAAAACCCTGTCTCTACAAAAAATGCAAAAATTAGCCAGGTGTGGTGGCATATGTCTGTAGTCCCAGCTACTGGGGAGGTGCTGAGGTGGGAGGATCACTTGAGTCCAGGAGGTGGAGGTTGCAGTGAACTGAGATCATGCTACTGCACTTCAGCCTAGGTAATAGAAAAAGACTGTCTCAAAAAACAAAAACAAACACAAACAAACAGTGTGCCTGTATTTCCGGGTTGGATAGGGCACCCCATCTATGCATCTCCTCTCAGACTTGGACACTGCAACTTTGGGTTTGGTAGAGGCCTGGGAATAACCTGGCTGTTCTACTCCCTGCACTCAGCCGTCATGCCTTTCAGTGCCAAAAGGGGTCTGACTTGTTTCACCAACCCCTGCTTGCGCCTACCAAGGGACTGAGCTCACTGGGGACCGTGGACAGAGAAAGAAATGTGAAAGCATCTTATTGGAAAGAACAGCCACGCAGCTCCATGTCTTCTGGGGCCTGCATGTGCCTGCACCGTGTTCACCTTCCATTCATTATGCATCACTCCCATGATGTCTCTGCAAGTGCCTGCTATTACTAACCCCTTTCAATTAACATGGAAGACACAGAAAAGGCCCACTTATCTCCCCATAGTCACTCAGCAATCAGGTACCCAGAGCCAGAGATCTTTCTGGAAAGCCTGTGCTGGTTCTCAAACTTTAATGTACAAGTACTCTGGGTGTTTCTGGGATAGGTGTTTGTGGGGATCATACCTTGAGAAATCATCGGAACCGTGATAGTCTCCTGTCAACCAGTGGGGACTGGTCAAGTAAATTATATGACAGCCTCAAAATGAAAATCTAGGCAGTCACATCACAACATGATAAAAATCATGTTGAAGAGTTTAAAAATAAGAATAGCTTCATCCCCCCACCCCGCCACAATGGCACTAGCTCAGTGTGAAAAGCTGACATAGTACCGAAAAGAAAGTAAAAATTCATTTTGAGTTCTGCTATTCAAAGATCTCTCCTGGTTTTTGTTTTGTTTTGTTTTGTTTTTTTGGGACAGAGTTTTGCTCTTCTTGCCCGGGCTGGAATGCAATGGTGTGATCTCCATTCACCGCAACCTCCGCCTCCCGGGTTCAAGCGATTCTCCTGCCTCAGCCTCCTGAGTACCTACAGGCATAAGCCACCGTGCCCTGCTAATTTTTGTATTTTTAGTAGAGACGGGATTTCACCATGTTGCCCAGGTTGGTCTTGAACTCCTGACCTTGTGATCTGCCCGCCTCGACCTCCCAAAGTGCTGGGATTACAGGCGTGAGCCACCAGGCCTGGCTGGATCTCTCCTGTTAGGCTTTCAAAAAGAACGTTTGTTGACATAGCAAAATGTTCACACAAGATTGATATACGAAACCAAGCAGGTAAAAACAATACTGTAAAACTCCATTTACACTGGAGATGCCCTCATTCATCCTCAGCAGAAGCCTCCAACACTATCTCTGCCAGGTGGAAGTAGGGGTGGCGCCCATCATCCCTTCTGTGAGTCCATTTGGTAAAGCAGATGGCATGAATGGAATGTCTCTAGTAGCTGATTAATCAGTCAGGGAATTTCCATAACTGGTTTCCTTCTATCATCCTTGGGCCTGCGCCAATTATCTTAGGAGCCCAAAACAGCCCAGACATGTTTTGCCATAGACCTGAACACCCACAGAACAGAAAGAATAATTAGAAAGGCTTACTTTTGTTGTGCTAAGTCTGTACAGACTCTGGAGATACAGAGATGAATAGGACAAGTCTTTGGCCCTTAGGGAGCTACCTGTCTATAAGGGGAGACAGATAAATGAGCAGATCATCACAACAGGGTGTAGGTCAGAGAAACGGAGGCACAGTGGAGCCCCCTGGGGGTGCTGAGGACCAAGCCACCTGAGAGACATCTGCCCTGGCGAGATGTAAGAACAATACTGTAAAACTCTTTCTCTGAAGCCAGAGAAGGAGGAGGCAGCTGGGAAGATGAACTGTATGGTGTGTTCCGAGCTCGAAGTACCCACAGAGTCTGAAGCCCCAGAGGGACCAAGACTCACCTGTCACTCAGCTCTTTCTACTCTTGTCTTCTTGCTAGAGGAAAAGATTGAAATCAGCGTACCCTGACTTGAGAGAAGCCACCTGGCTACAGTTTTCGATTAAAGGGCTTTGTGGTCAGATACGCAAGGGGCAGGGCCCTAATCTTGTTTTCCTACTTGGGATGAATCTTGGCCTCTGACAGTTTAGCTGATTTGTGCTTTTTTTCAGGGTGGGGCTGTGGTGAAGGAGGGAGCAACCCCTGCAACTTGTTTTCTTCTTTATTTTTTCATCTGGGGTTACTTACACTTTGAGAAAAGCTTCCTTATTTGTAAACAAGGATTCAGAAGGAGATGAAGATCCCAGTGCTAGACTGACTGGCTGGGGGAATTTCGCAAGTGCTCCCCATCTATTTCCCTTTTTAGAGGATGGCTGATTATTTGACTAAATAGCCTATATAGACTTCCTGTTTCTTTTTTCTTTTCTTTTTTTTCTTTTTTTTTTTTTGAGATGGAGTCTCATTCTGTCACCTAGGCTGGAGTGTGGTGATGTGATCTCGGCTCACTGCAACCTCCACCTCCTGAGTTCAAGCGATTCTCCTCCCAAGTAGCTGAGCCTACAGGCGCACACCACCACGACCGGCTAATTTTTTGTATTTTTAGTAGAGATGGGGGTTTCACCATATTAGGTAGGCTCGTCTCGAACTCCTGACCTCAGGTGATCCTCCAGCCTTGGCCTCCCTAAGAGCTGGGATTACAGGCGTGAGCCACTGCCCCCGCACCTTTTTTGTTTTTTGTTTTGTTTGTTTGAGACAGCGTCTTGCTCTGTTGCCCAGGCTCAAGTGCATGGCTCACTGCAGCCTGGAGCTTCTGGGCTCAAGCAATCCTGCTCATCCTCCTGTCTCAGTCTCCCGAGTAGCTAGGATTACAGGCGCCTGCCACCACTTGTGGCTAATTTTTGTAGAGACAGGGTCTAGCAACATTGCCCAGGCTGGGCTTCCTGGACCTTAAATTCTACGACATTTTTCATGGGATGAAGAAAATGATATGACTTCTTCAAAGACGAAAGAGTCTTGCAAGCTGTCATTCTCTCCAGCCCAGGTGAACCCTACCAAGAAAAACAGCTTGTCCGAAACACTATTTTCTGACTCAAAGTGTAGGGAAGCTGGAAAGTAGCTGGGTCTGTTTTATTCCCTAAAGAATCAGGCTGCAACTTGACAAGGGCAGGGCCAGGTCCGGGGCCGGGGGTGTGCGCTCGGTGTGCGCGCGGGGCTGTGGGCTGAACTGCGCTGGGGCTTTCCCCTTCGTGGAAGCCTTACCCGGCTGTCTTCAGCCACGCGCCCCCATTCTCAAGCCGCGCCACCGCGGGCGCTCGGTAACTGCTCGCCTAGCCGGACTGGATCTCAGCAGGAGGGACAAATAAAGAGGAAAACCCCCAAGGCCGGCCCACTGTACCTGCCGCATTCCCCCCAACCCTGTTCCGGCTGTTGGCAATGCTGCCAACACACCCCTCACCAGCCCCGAGCCAGCGGCCGCGAGGATTCGGGGTGCCCAGGTGGCAGCTCCAGAAGACCCCGTCCCAACCGCCCACCCGCGTCCCCTCCTCTCCGCAGCGCCCGGCACTTACCGCCATGGTGAGCGCGCGGGGCCGGCGCCAGGGCCGCGTCCGCTTCCTCGGGTCTCCTCGCTCCGAGTCAGTTCAGCTGCCTCAGCTGCTGCAGCTGCAGCCGCCACCGCCGCGATCGCGATCCGGGCCGCGCGGATCACATGGTCCGGGAGAGGCGGCGCGCGGGCGCCTGGGAGTTGTGGTCCCCACGCGCGCCTCACCCCGGCGGCCTCCCACGCGCCCCCTGGCCGGGACCCACGCGCCGCGCCCCAGGTTCCCGAGGGCTGAGGCTTGGCCTTCCCGGAGTCGCAAGCGAGCAGGGCCACCTGCTGCTAATGTCTTCGCCCTGGCTGTTTGTCTTGGCGATTATGAGAATGTTTATTGCTCATGGTAATAAACTACCCCAAGCGTAACATATGTTGAGTTGAAAATGGAAAAGTCCGTGCTATGGACACAATAGCAACAAATTTGGAGTAAATTAAGTCAATTATGCCCCAGATTTTTAATGTAGTCATTATAAGATAATTATATTTTTCTTTTTAAAAAACAATTTCCAATCTGATAAGCCAAAAGGAATACACACATGTAATTTTGTTTTTTCTTTGATTACTAGTGTGGTAAACTATGTTTCTTACTGCTACTTCCATTTCTGTGTATTGCCTGTTCATTTCACTGATCCAGTTTTTTGTTGGGGAGTTTCTTGTAGCGTGAGGGAGTTTAACGGTTATTGATTCTTAAGCATGTTTAGTAACTCTTTGCCAATCAGACTATGAGAAAAGAGGCTCCTCAGAGAAACCTTACTAAGGACGGTATTAGCAGAAACCCTGAGCCTGGAGCTGACCTCAGTTCATATCCATAGCCATCAACTATTGGCTTTGGGACCGTAGGCAAATACTCTGAACCTCAGTTTTCTGGTCAGTAAAATGAAAATAATAATAAAACCTATGTCATAGGGGTATTGTAAGGATTAAATGAAAACATACATGTTAAATTCTCAGCATGTAACCTGGCAGTGGGAACTGGCTCAGTAAATGGTAGATTCCTCAAGGTCACACAGCTTTTAAGATCCTCAGTCTGAAAGCTAATGGGGGTTGGGAGCAGTCAGGGACTGGAGCAGCTTCAGGGAGAGAACATGGTCCAAAGCGCTGTGATGAGGCTGCAGGGGGACAGTTGCTGCTGTCGGGTTTACTGGGTCATGGGGAAGCACTGGGGAGAGGGGCTAAGGCTATCTCTGAAGCCTCTGGGTTCCAAGAGCTGGGAGGGCTTTGGGTGTAGCTTTTCACCTCTCTGGGCCTTAAATGGGAAGCAAGAGTAAGATGATCTGGCCTTTACATGAAGTGGGCTCCGCTGCACCCCGCTCCCCGGACCTGCACTGAAGAATCTGCAGCACAGCTTTATTCATTTGACTGTTTTTGTTGGCTTTGTCACAATCTGATAACCTTTACACTTACTTCTAACTTCCTCGTGGATGTTTTGGTTACGACACCTAGCCCAGAAGTCCTAAAATGCCCGATTTCTTTCTGTGCCACCAGAGACACCCCTCCCCTGTCCCCCAAGCAGAGAGCTTATTGCAAACCACGCGATCTTAGATCATAAGATCACAAAACAGCCGCCCAAGCCTGGGTCCAGGGCAAGAGATTCTTTCTGGATTCTGTGTTTTGACAGCTCAGGCTGAACATGACCCTGTTCATCCTGGGTGGCTGAGAACACAGAGGGTACTCCCCCCAGTTCTTGTTGCATGATTCCTCGTCTCCAGGGAGCCAGGACTACGCTGGTGCTCCATTTCCCTGCTGGGGAACTTCCCACTGCATCCAAGTTCCAGCAGAGAGTCCTGAGGAAGACAGGGAACATCCAAGTGCTTCTGTGCCTGAGAGTCTGGACTCCCCATCCATCCTCCTCTGATGGTTCTGAAGCCTGTTGGGGCGTGGGAGGACATGGACCAGCCAGCCCACCTGGGTAGGAAATAGGGGTCTATTAGTTTCTTATGGCTGCTATGACCAATGATCATAAGTGTAGTGGCTTAAAACAACACATATTTATTCTCTTTCAATTCTGGGGATCAGAGGGATGAAGTCAGTTTCACTAGGGTGAAATCAAGGTATCAGTAGGGCTGCACTCCCTCCAGACACTCTATGAGAGAGCTTATTTCCTGTCTTTGTCCTTTCCGGCTTCTAGAGATGCATTCCTTGGCTGAGGTGGGAGGGGCTTCCTCCATCTTCAAAGCCAGCAGCAGCGCAGCAGCTTCAAGTTTCACATTGCCTTCTCTCTTCCGTATCCAGTCTCCTTCCACCTCCTTGTTTTTTTTTTTTTTTTTTT